TAATACAGATTGTTTAAAAATATGAAGTAGAGGTTGAATTTCTTTTCGGTAAAAAAAATTATGAATGTAGGATTTGTGTAGGTAGCATCTCGAACTTCGATGAGACTAATAATAATCGTGTGATTCGAGTCCATATCATTCAGTATCTTAGTTCAGAACATTGCTTGTAATAAAAAAAACGTAACATTAGTTTCTATCCAGTGATTAATCTATGTATATTACTGAGGATTTTTACCTGGGACGCAACCATTTCATTAAACTATCAAAAGTTAGTTAATCATTGAGATCATGAAGAGATTGATGTTAGACCACCATTGAAAACCTGGAAGCACTGGACGGCCGTTTCGTCCTATTGTGGCAATCCTCCCACGATCCTGCCCTCGGGATTCAAACGCTTAACCTCTAAGCCACTGAGCCTGCATCCAACCACAGTAGCGTCTTACCATTATACTGAGGTAGATACCTGTCTCTACCCGACATGGATTAGCTCCACTGGTCATGGTTAGTTGTTTAATTCTTCATGACCAATAAATTGAATGATGTCAGTATAGAATTGTGAAGATTGTTGAATTTTGATTGAGACCATGAACCGATCAATTTGCTCATTCGTGACTAGATTCAAGAAGTTATTCTCAGAGTTCTAGTGAGAAGCCCTGACCAGTGGGGTTAAGCCGTATCGGGAGATGGTTGCGCAATATCGTGGACTGATTGAAGTTAGACATTATCACCGTTGGATAGCGGTTCAGTGATTTAGAGGTTAAGAGTTCGTGTGCAAGATCAAAGATCTCAGGTTTGAATCCCAATTGCAGGATCGTGGATGGGTATTGTTGAATAGTCCCATACTAGGACGAAATGGCTGTCTAGTGCTTCCAAGTTTTCAATGGTGGTCTAACATTGATCAATTCATGATCTCAGTCAAAGATGAAAGATCTTTTAATGTAACCGATGTTTATTTAATCATTTAACATAATTATAATTCAATTTCATATACTTATTATCATTACTTATATTCAATGTTTTCTAACTTAATTACACTAAAATGAATTTGATTCTATGTAATTATCTGTAATACAACTTATTAACAAACCGGAAGTTTTGTTGTTTTGTTTTGTTTTTCATTTTAATTAGTTGTTACTATCTGCTTTACTATAACTGTGTTTGTTTATCAACAACCATTTGAAATCTAGAAATTATGAAAACTTTACTTTTTATGTTTAACACTGAATTGGTTAGAGAAAAAGAAAGAGAAAAGAATATGGTTAGAATGTGAAACATTTTGACTATTCTAATTTCTTTTTGTTGTTGCATAATTATCTTGTCATAACACTACTGTTATTGTCCTTTTTATTCACTCACAAAATCTATAAGCAGTTGGTTTAGTTAAACATTTTGAATAAGTTAATCCTGAAGGAAAGATTGATTACATAGAGAGAGAAAGAGAGAGAAAGTTATTCAATATGTAGGTAACCTAACCTGAACTCTGACTTTGTACGTGTTAATCCTTTTTCTTATTAGCTGATAGATTTGGTTAATTTCAATATGTCTAATAATGGATGCTTGATTGAAGTGCCAAACCTCTGAAAATTCTCTGGCTTTTTTTGTCCTTCTTCTGAGCAATATTTTGACATTTTCCTAATCGAACTCATGTCCACAGTTGTCTACATGAATTGAGATGAGCGAAACTATGTTACTTACTTACTTATTTACGCCTATTACCCCCAATCGAGCATAGACCGCCGACCAGTATTCTCCAACCCACTCTGTCCTGGGCCTTCTTTTCTAATTATATTCAATTGTTGTTAATTCTTCTCATGTCTATCTCCATTAATCGGCGCAATGTGTTCTCTAGTCTTCCTCTCCTCCTCCTCCTCCTCCCCCTTTGGTCTTGAGGATTCCATGTGAGGGCTTGCCTTGTGAGGCAGTTGTGTACTTTCCTCAATGTGTGTCCTATCCACTTCCAGCAATTCTTTCTGAGTTCTTCCTCTGCTAGAATCTGGTTTGTTCACTCCCACAATAGATTGTTGCTGATAGTGTCTGGCCAATGGCTTTCGTAGTTCTCCAAGTTTCCTCCCCATACAGTAGAACAGTCTTGACATTTGTATTGAAAATTCTGACCTTGGTATTGGTTAGCAGTTGTTTTGAGTTCCAGATGTTCCTCAGTTGTAAATATACTGCTTTTGCTTTACCGATCTGCACCTTCACATCTGCATCAGATCCACCGTTTTCATCAGTGATGCTGCCTAGATTTGCAAAGGTTTTTACATCTTCCAAAGCTTCTCCGTCGTTAACAAGTGATATAATTGTCTTTATGGTTATCTTGATAGTCATTTAAATTCTACGACCTGTATCATATACTACCATAAGTTACAACGGAACTACCTCACTTGATAAGTTCTTTAAAATCATCTGTACAGTCATACGATTTGTTTCGAAATGAACACAAACTTATGACTTATGCACTGTAGAGACTATAACAACCCATTATATATTCATCCACAAAACTTATTCGACTAGTTATTGTGGATACAGTTGCCAAGGTGACACTGGATAATTTGAAATAAATTGAGCATTAGGCAAATTGTTGATAATCCTAATAATAATCTATAACTAGCTTTCTCATATGATATTTTTTTCACTCCAACATATATATTTGATTTATAAACCTCAGTCTAATCTCTTCTCGTCTCTTCCAAATACAAGTAAGGATGAAGTTAAATTAACCACCATGGTGTATCCTCTTGAATTTTGTAATATCTAGCTTATTGATTTGTTCTTGAGTACATTCAACCATTTAAATATACCACCATTTAGTCAGTTCAAATAAATGTAAACACTAAAAAAAAATTCCTGAAAGTATTTTTCAAACTGTATATTAAATAATTCATAAATTTGAGTTGACCACCATCTTGTAATACTTTATATATATGGATGATCATGTTGTAATAATAAGCGGAATTGTAAAAGAACTGTTCGTAAATAGGAAATTACAAATTTATTTCGGTTTAATTTCTTTTTCGTCAATATAAAATTGATTATATCAGAAGGGGTATTTATGGATATTATCGTAATTTTAATAGTTGAGATCATGGGTCGATTGAAGCTAGACAATCATGGGAAAACTGGAAGCACTGGACGGACATTTCATCCCATTGCGAGACTCCTCAGCAGTGTACATCCACGATCTCACATATGCTCACTAGTGCCTGGCTTCAAGAGGTATTTCATGGAGTTCTAGTTAGAAGTAGTGACTAGTGGAGTTCAACAGGGTCTGTTGTGAGGTAGTAACTCACTGAACACAATGGTGGATGTATCACTCAATTTCGTGGATTAGTTGAAGTTAGACATTTACACCGCTGAATGATGGCTCAGTGATCTATAGGTTAAGCGTTCGCTCACGAGACACACAGGTCCTGGGTTCGAATCTTGTGAGATGAAGTCGTGGATGCGCACTGCTGAGAAGTCCTAAAATATCATGAAACGGCCGTCCAGTAGTTCCAAGTTTTCCATGATGGTCTAGCTTCAATTGATTCATGATCTCAACCAATGAAATTGATTATATGTCAGTATTATTGTTTGCATCTCAATCAAAAATATCACTAAGGTGAATGGAAGTGATATATATATATATATATATATATATATATATATATATATATATATATATATATATATATATATTTGTCCTTAAGGTAAACTTATTGCTGTTTTTTCTTTCGCTAACAGTATAAACTTTAAATCACGATTAAACTTTTCACTTATTTTCATGTAAATTAAAACAATATGAATAAAGAAAGGTGAACAAGTAAAACTATATGTAAGATTTTTTTCCACACAAATATAGATATTCCTACATATATATTAAGATATTAACACTCCTAAGCCTTCCTTGGGAGAATAAAGTTTAAAAGCGAGTTTACTCACTTACTTACGCCTGTTACCCCCAATCAAGCATAGGCCGCCAACCAGCAATCTACAATCCACTCTATCTTCGGCTTTCCTTTCTAGTTCTATCCAATTGTTGTTCATTCTTCTCATGTCTGTCTCCATTACTCAGCGTAATGTGTTCTTTGACATTCCTCTTCTCCTTTGACCTTGAGAACTCCATGTGAGGGTTTGCCTTGTGAGACAGTTGTGTGCTTTCCTCAGTGTGTGTCCTATTCACCTCCAGTGCTTCTTCCTGATTCCTTTACTGATAGTTATCACTAGTATTTCCATTATTATGATTATTTCCCACATCCTTTGTACTTTTGTCTTTCTTCATATATATTGCTGTCTTACTCATGACTTGATTGACTCCACTGATTGTACTGTCCTATTCTAAAATTTACCAAAAGATCTTTCTAACACAGATTTATGGAAGTCTCTAAAAGTCTACCTCTCCACCAACCATATCATTTGATTTTTTCACATTTCAACATCGTTCCACGCTGTTATATCAAGACTACAGTGCATTTTAAGCACAAGTCGACTGAATCTGATAAGAAAAGATGGTAACACAACTTGTGATCGACTTACTCTCCAAATACCAGCTTATAATCTCTACCGACTTTGCGAGGACATTGATGTGATACAGCTGCCATAGACTAGCCTCATAATAATTTGATTGCTCACGACACACCACTCTACAAGCTCTTGATAACCATCATGAAGAAGATAGTGTTCATTTTTTGTTGTACAACAATGTCATACTCGTAAAATCATTATCCATAAACGGTGACAACTCTTTTAAGGAAACGCAAAGTTTTTAAGAAGCTCAGTAACTTAACCAGCTAATAACATAAAAAGTTCGGTTTGCATGTTCATTGGCGATACCATCTGAATCTTTAAGTTTAAGTTGCTTAGCTTCAATAAGCAAAAGACTGTAGAGAATGATGGACTGATATTTACCTTAGTAAGTGTATCATTTTATTAGGATATAGTCACTTTACATAATTTTTAAGACCAAAAACTAACTTTTCTAAAAGTTTATTTCTTGTTTGTTTTTTTTTTTGCATCTACAGCAAAACCATACCTGTAGGAAATCAAAGTATCAGAGATCCAATCACCACTTCACGCTCAACACATATAACTAATCCCAGTGAAAAATCTCCAATCAATATTGCCACAGTTAATGGTAAGAATGTGACTAAACTATCCTCAACAAGCAACACAAATACCTCAATACCGTTTGGTAATACAGTAGTCAATTTAATGGCCGAAGCTGCACACGCTGTTACTGGAGGCGGTACAGGAACCACTGGTGGTTTTAGTGCTGGTCATTCAGTGAATGTATGTGAATCATGCCATAAAACTAAATTTGCTGACGTTTCTGGAAATCCATGTATTTATTGCAAACGTAGGACGTGCACCAGATGTGGAGGTCACATGGAAATCAAACCGAATATAGTAAGTTTAGAATACAAATTGAAATATTGTAAAATTTCAAAAATTGTATTTAAATAAACAAGGATATCTCTAAATATAGTAAATATGTATATTTATCCCCTAATTTATTCAACTAAACAAACAGCTGTCTTTTAAAAGGTCCATATAAATGTGAATCACAAGTTCTTTGGTCTTCAAAGCATGTTTCTTTTTACTAAGAAATGCGCACTGCTAAGGAGTCCCGCAATAGGACGAAACGGTTATCCAGTGCTTCCAAGTTTTCCATGGTGACCTATCTCAATCGACTTATGATCTCAACTATTAAAATTCAAAAATATTAAAAAGAGTTTTCATCGATTTCTTCCTTAAGAAGAAAAGTTTTTAAAATTTCGGTTTTCAATGCTATCATCTATAAGAGTACAAGATTCATTACTGATACACACAGTTGAAAAAAGGCGAAAGTATCAACTAGATTCCAAAGTATTCGATAACCTTATTTTAGTAACTAGAAATTGACATGATAAGAGATGATTTGATATTTTTTTAAACTGATCATCTTTCTAAACAATTATTTTATCTATAGGAAAGGATGAATGCTAGGAATTCAGTAGATCGATCTATGGAAAATACTTTATTACCACCATAATACTGAATTGCAGTCGGTAATTATAAAGTCTGTTTTGTTTTACTTATCATCATCTAATTGACTGGCTTAGTAACACTTACAAGAAAAAATGTTCTATCTAGTAAAGTTTGATTTGACTGTAACAATAATGCAAGCGTGATCATCTCTTAAAGATGGTAACTTAGTCACAATTAACAACCGATCGATGAATATCCTAAAAGTTAATTTAATTAACTGACGAATAATATAAACAAAGATGGATAGTGGCTAGCAGTGGAATCCAGGATACGCGTTTCATCCTATTTGGGAATAGTCAGCCGGATTTACCTGCATCTCAAAATTGATGTTCACTCTGGGACTCGAACGTAGTACCGTTCGCTTCAAACTCCATCGCGTTATCCACTCACCTACTGTGTCCTGATAGGCACTTGCTTGTGGAATGGTGTGACGTTGAAATTCATTTGGTATTGGTATAGTACGAAACGCGCTTACTGTATTCCACTGCTAGCTACTATCCATCTTTGCTTATAACGCTTGTGAATTGTTATAAATACATGATTAATTAGTAAGTACGTCTACTAAGTTTTGGGAGTCCTGAAATATCCCTCGTCTATGTCTATGGCTCAGTAGTTCAGTAGGTGACGAGTTAGGTGTTTAGAAAGAAGGATGCTGGGTTTGAGTTCTTATGTAAATATCAGGATTGAGATACATGCACTTCCAACTGACAAATTTCAAATTGAATGAAGCACACCTCCTGGATTCCATTGTTACCCACTGTTCAGCCTTAATTTGAAATTCTTGACTAAGTAACAATATGAAAGCCATCTGGACGTGATATAGATATTCCAAAGCGATTGGGCAACTAATATTCCTAATATGAGACTGATCAATTGCAGTCCTAAATATCAATGGGAAGATTCAAAAAAACAATACCAAATGAATTTAAATTTCGTCCCATTACTTAGGAAAATGGCTATCAGGACATAGTAGGTAAGTTGATAACGCGATGGAGTTCGAAGTGAACGGTACTGAGTTCGAGTCTCGGAATGAACGTCAACTCTGGGATGCAGGTACATCCAGCTGACTAGTCTGAAATAGGATGAAGCGCGTAATTTGGATTCCGCTGCTAGCCACCATCCATCTTTGTTTAATATCCCAGTGTATCAACAACGGATAATTGAAAGCGTGAATAAGAATAAACTTATTCGATTTTGGAAAGATACAATCTATACAATTCGGAATTGAATTTCTTGAAGAACTGGTACTAACAAAAAACTAATAAAATCCCAATAGGGACTAGAAAACGATAGCCTTGTTGTTTATAACTTCACGTATATAATACTGGTTATATCCAGATGAGTAGTAGCTTCCCCATCCTTGTTTAGTTTACAACTAGGGACTAGTTTGCATCAGTTAGCGGCGAAAATTCATTTTCAAATTAATAATATATGACAGTTGAAAACATGTATATTTAAATCTTGGTTCCTTTTTTCAAGGTTCACTGGGTCTGTAAACAATGCGCACAAAATCTCACATCAGATAGACAAATAGTAACAACATCTGGTGGGAATTTACCTCATCATATGGAATCCTCAGCAAATAGTAGTATTACTGGACGTTTGGGTGAAAGTATTAAGGATTTTATTTCCAAACCGAAATCATCAGATGTTAAAAGGTATAGTTGTACTCGCTTTTTTAATTGCTATTTTGTCTTATTTTTGTTTAAATGGATACTATTTATTTAATAGTATTGAAGTAAAGCACATGTAGAAAAGCTTCATGCATAGTGATTGATTTCTATGGCTTTTTAGATGGATTGAGTTGAATACTCACATGATTTATGATAAAAAATTGACCCAAAATATAAACAAATCGTTTTTAATATCAAAAGGGGTTTTTGTGGAGATTATAGTAATTTTAATAGTTGGAATCATGAGTCAATTGAAGCTAGACCACCATGGAAAACTTGGAAGCATTGGTCTACTCAATATTAGAACGAATAATTTGACAAAAATTGGGCGACGAGTATAGAGAAGTCATTAAACGTATATTTTCCATGTAGTTGCTAGTTGAATACCATCCGTTTTGTTCCGACTGTTCTTATTCGCCCATATATACAGCGCTTCTGCTATCAATGTTTCTTTATGAGTGTTAAAACCTTTCTGAAGTATTTTCCTCCTTTCAAAATTGATCGTGTGCCCTGTTTCCAATGCACGTAACGCTATCGCCGACCTATTCTCAAATTTCTTTAGATCAGCAGAGGATTTAGGAACATTTTCCAAACATTGTTTGTGTTCCTTCAACCTCACATTCAATTGTCTGGAAGTTTCTCCCAGATAAGCTGCATTACAATTATAATAGTTGGTCTCATAAACAATATTCTGTTGTTCTTCCTTTGGGAACCTATCCTCAACTTTCACTAATGCTGATCTTATGGTGTCACAAACCTGAAAATACACTCTTATATCATGTTTGTTTAGAGTCCTTTTGATTTCTTCCGATGTTTCACCACGGTATGGGATGACTACATTGAACTTCCAGTCTTTCGGTATACAATTCAGTGTTTTATAATGGTCAATCTTCCTTCAGCAATGGATTTAAGTTCATTGACTACAAATCAAACAATTAAGAAATAATCCCGGGTATTCTATTCGTGTACATAACTCATCAAGGCCCAGAAACAAGATGGATTCCTTGAATTTTATTAAATAAAAAACCGTAAAATGTCCTATGAAACTGTTATAATTTGGCCCTGTGCCCTATTAATGTATAACGTGATGATACCGCCAATTAGAGGACAGTGAATTATCGACTGGACCAATGACGCATAGAACCAGTACTAGCAGTCTAGAGTATTTAGCGAACCTGCTTCTCCGCCTATTGGTCCATAAATGGGTCCAAAAGTTACTATTCATTATTCTTATCGGGATATAACAGGAACTCAAACGTGTCTAAAGTAAAATTACATAAAACCAATGAATGGCAGTGAATAATCATGGTGTAATATCACATATTAACTAAATCATGCAATGTGGAACATCAAATCCCAAATTCAATGATTTGTGAAGAAACTTCACTCCTAAAGGTGAACTGCTTAATCATGTGTGTGTTCATGCTGCCGAAATGTTTTAAGTTGAGACAAGGTTTAAATGAAGCCTAAACTGAAGTTAAGGTAGAATAATATGAATTCATTTTATTTGGTGATTTCTTATCAGCTGCTTGCAACCGTATTCATATTAAAATATAACATAGAGGTATGATATAATATGGGTTAGTGAATTTTGATGATGGAAAGATTTAAAATGAATATACAAATCTGAAGCCATTTGAAGATGGAATTCAAAAAAACATAAGGACTGAGGCATTAATTATGTGTACTTCGGATACCGGTAAAATAAATTTCGTGATAATTCCAGACGATCTAAAAAGTTTCAATAAACTTCAAACCATTCGAAAATAAGCATAGAAGACCTATCAAGATGGGATGGTAATTGTAAAGGACCGGAAAGATTGGTTATCTTACAAGATTTGAAGAATTTACACAGGTTTAGAGAGCTGGTTGAGTGAAAAACAGATGAATGAATAAGCCTATTGGATTTCAACGTGGTCCCATATTTTCTATGTTTGCTTAACTAATATCATTACTTCATAGCATACAAAAAAACTACACAGCTCATTCATTTTGGTATAAAGAGAATTGGATACTAATGAAGCACATTTATCATCTCAAGAAAATACCAGCAACTACAAATACGTTGAATTCAACCTGCTGGATGATCTATACACGTAATATACATATCATTAACCTAGGAGACTGTCGTCAAAGGACAGATCGTTCATTATAAAAAATTGCCTTTCATTTACAAGATGGGTGAAGTTTACAAGCTGATATGTGTGTATTAGCATACCAGTCGAAGACAGATGTTAATTTACTGTCAACTCTATCAGTTTCAAATCAACATATATGACATCTTCGATTTTTGAGCGTAGCTTTCACAAGGCAACCTTAATTGAATAGCCCTTAAAACTCAAGAACTGCTGAAACTCTTAAGCTAACTGCTCAAATGGATCACTTGTGGTTCATCAAACCAATCATACATGCTTCAAGTCATGGGAAAATGTATGGAGTAACGATTATTTCCTCAACATTAAACCTTTTAACAAACAATAGTTAGTAGAATCTACCAGTGTTTCTTATTATTGGTTTTATTGTTGTACGGTCTTAGAATCAAATTGAATACAGAAATTATAAAAGCTACCTATTATGATACTTCCAATTTGTTTATATTCTACATTAATGCTGATGGTGTACTTTTCCATTAACTGTGAAGCAGTTTATCTGATGATATTTCTATCCTTTAATTATCATCTTTCTCGAACAAAAACAAAACAAACAATTCAATCATTAAGTTGTAATTCATTACAGTATGATGTAGAGGAAATCGAATAAAAAGAAGCTTTTCAAAAATTGACCCAATCAATGAACCAGAAGCACCAGTTTGTCTATCTATCTATATGCATCAACTATGTCAATATAAGCTCAATTACTTCATGTGTATTGATCAATTTATCTACTTTTAGTATGTTATATATATGGAGAGAGGGAAAGAGTTATATAACAGTCTGTTAGACGCTCACTTTTCCAGTTAGTCTCTCATTCAATTGATTTATACTGGGTCGATTAATTTAAGCAAATTACGGAATGATTCTCTCTATTTTGACACCTACGCTTTTTCTATCTTACTCAATGGACCCAAAGAGAACTGGTATGGGTGTGTGTGTGTATGTGTATGTGAATATTATCTGTATATGATGATGTCAAGGTTAAATAGGATTTAACTTAATTCAGATGTCAAAAGTTGACATAGTTTGAAGGACATATAACTTTCTGCCAAAATGCAATCGATATTAGATACATTTTAACCAATCTTTTTACTATATATGCATACCTATACTAAAATAACCGTCGGGATTTACCTGAGGATTTATTGGCTGGATATTTGTAGACGTCATTCTATACATTCTGTAGAGTCTCAATTTAAAGCAATTCACCAGTACTACCGTTGATACATTTTGTTACTTTTTATGAAACGAAATAATTAGTCGATGTATCAGGGAAAATAAGACAGTAAATCCGAAGTGATCGAGTAAACATACCATTTCCTTTGATATGGTACCCTTACTGCCATAGCATAGTTTTAGTTTCATATTATATAATCAAGTCTCAAAGTTATTTGTTGGTTGTTGAAGCGTCCGTTAAAAATCATCACCGCTCAGTCGATATTGTTAAAATGATGGAATGACTAATGTAGTTGAACTGATCTCTAACACTAGCTAGTAACTGACATCAATTTTATGGAATTATATTATAAGTTCGTATTTCTAATATTTTAAAATTATAGGTTGTAATTAGATTAAACTTAGAAGGGATTGATGCTAACATGGTCGAATGATTACTCTCATTTTACTTAGAATTTTTGTTGTGAATTTGTATACTGGTTGATTAGTTTCGATTCTCGGTTGGCAATAGTTGTCTAAGATGAATAGGCGATAGAACCCTACAAAATTCAACTGTAACATTTAGTGACTAATTTCAAAATCCAATTCTCAGTCTTAGTGAGATGCCATGTCCCAGTGGAGTTTATCCATGTCGGTTGTGATATAAATACCACTCGTATCAATGAATAATAATCAAAAAGTATCGTGAATTAACTGGAAGCAGTAACGTGTACTATTAGCTACTAACTCAGTAGTCTAAAAGTTAAGTGACTACTGTGAAACCTCAAGGTTTTCGGTATGATTTCTCGTATTTATTTACGATTGAGGAGTCCCATACTAAGACTAAATAGCTGTTTAATGCTTCTAGATTTCCAGTGGTTGTCTAAGTTGAATCCATGATGTAAAACTATGGAATTTCGTAATAATTCCTTTCATATTAAGTAGTGAGATTGCTAATAATTTGAGGTAATCTAGCAATTTTGGACGAAAGTTTCATAATGTTAGGTCCCGATAAGCATAATGAATGGTAATTTTTGGGATACATTTGTTGACCAATATTATACTCATATTTTATCGTATAATTGTTAATTAACTAAACTATTCGTATTCATGTCTCTCTTATAAACTTTATTTTGACCTATGAACTATTATTATTATTATACGATTTATCATTCTTGAGTTATAGTCTATTAATTATTACCTCCCTCATTCACAGTCACATTTGGCTCATTCTTGTACAAATGTTGTTTCATATTCTATGGTACGTCGTAGTCTGTCTGGTTGGTATATAAACCCAGTATGTTTGAAATAAATGATCCATGTTGCAGAGTCTGAGATTGGTGTTCTGGACTTAACTGGCTGGACTAGGGGGAAAGCAGGACCAGTAAGGACTCTAGACTACTCGTTTGGGTTTTATGCGTCACTGATCCGATCGATAATTCACTGCTCTCTAATTGGCGGTATCGTTACGTTAAACATAAACAGAGCACACAGACCATAAGTTATAACACATAAATACAACTGTGACTGAGCTCTTTCTAGGCGTTATAAACTGAGATCAAACATTTAGGTCCTTTCTATCTTCAGAGTTTATTAAGTGTTGATTTCAAATTGACATAACCTCCATAACTTATTTAACTATAAAATAATTACAGACTTTGCTCCAATTATGTGAACTAGTTTAAATTAAAACTTGAGAAAAATCTAGAAAATTAGTTAAACAATGGTTTGAGTAATTAATCAAAGCAATCCGTTGTGACTTTAAGTCCGGCTAGTTATTACGTGTTCTTTTCTTAACTAAGCAATAAAATAACTCATAATTAAGATAGTAGGTAGTGACATGATAATGCTAATTTTCATTATCCCTTTAAATGAATAATTTTGTAATGAAAAGTATAATAAAAACGTGTTTTCTCAGCTAAGTTGATTTGTTCAACTATGTTTGTTTCCCACTTGATGGGATTTTTCAACAAAGATATAACTATTCAGGTTTACTAGAGCTTTCTGTTAATTATTTTCTGTAATTTAGTATAAAAATAAGTTTATTATGTTACTACCATTTGAGACTGAATTCCTAATTCATGGCTTGGATTTTCATCATAGATTAAGGTGTTATTGAAGACTCAGGACCACCGGAACTCGTTTTGCCCTGGTATACTTTAATGTCATCAAATACTTACTTACGCCTGTTACTCCTCGTGAAGGAGCATAGACCGCTCACCAGCATTCTCCATCCAACCCTGTCCTCGGCAATCCTTTCCAGCTCCTTCCAGTTTTTATTCATCCTTTCCATATCTGCTTTTATTTCCCGACGTAATGTGTTCTTTGACCTTCCTCTTTTCCGCCTTCCTTCAGGATTCCAAGTTAGGGCTTGTTTCGTGATGCAGTTTGTTGGTTTGCGTAATCTATATATTATCCATTTCCATCGTCTTTCCCTAATTCCCTCTTTAGCTGGAAGCTGGTTTGTTCTCTCCCAGAGAAGGCTTTTGCTGATGGTATCCGGTTAATGCATGTTCAGTATCTCGCGAAGACAGCTATTTATAAATACTTGTACCTTCTTGATGATGGTTGTAGTAGTTCTCCAAGTTTCAGCTCCGTACAGTCACGTCATCAAATATTTCTTACGAATTAGCTGAAGGATTAAGATTAGATTGTCTATTTTATTATATATTCATATGACTAAGCATCAGGGATATTTATTTTGTTCACAGAGAAAATCGCTGCATAATTAATTTCATCATAAGGAAAATCGGTCATATAATTTCTGACAATATCTTACTACTATAAGATGAAGTATATGAGTAATATAACAACAACAACAACAATAACAACATTTTATCAGTTATTTGTGTGGAAAAACATTGTAATAAGTTTCCTGTTGTGAATTTTTTTCAACTAAATAATTGATATATGTTAACTGCATACTGTACTCAATGCGCCCTTACTAAGAAGATTACAAGGTATCGTGAAGTTAATTACTTCAAAATTCATTTAGATTCATCACAGTGATTAGTATCTTTCTCTTTACAGCTGTTCCTTAGAGAATTGACAGTTATATTAGAATCCATGAATCAAATATATTATGGGACAGCAATGGGTATCATAAGAGAAAAAAAACTGCTCAGAATTACTCGGTTTTTTAAAAATATTCACATGTACAGTAGATATAAGATGGGAAACTGTTTTCATATTCCATATTTGATGCTAAGAAGTGTTTTAGCAGTATTCAAATATTAAAACTGTGTAAATATTCTTCGAAAGTGAAGTGTTGTATTCTGTGTTTTTATTTAATCCTTATTGTAAACTTCCAGACTCTTGAAGACCTCTATATAAGGAGAGAGGAAATGAAAACTTTGTAGAAATCTTTACCGAAGCTGTATAATAAAACATAATACTTATACGTGAACATAAGTTGACGATATGTATGTGGTGACATTGGACTGTTAAATTATTTGCTTACTTATAATATACCACTCATCTTCTACTGTATGACATTGTGCTTTCCAACGGAGCTTCTTTTTTATACACCTCTCTTTCTTGAATAATATTCCATTTTTAATTCATTTCGTTAATTGCCAAGAGAGATAGAGTATATCATAAATCAATCAGTTATCTTGTATGAAAGTTTGAAATATTTTGAGGAAACTGGAAAATAAATTATCAAATCTTTTTTCCCAGGCAATTACCCCAATTGAATGTAAAAAATCAAAATGTACCATATATTTCCGATGGATCCAGAGGACAAACAATACAACATAGAAATTCAGGTCGTACTCTAGCAATGAATCGATCAAATAGTTTAGATGCAGATAAGACGGCCTATATTAGCCCAGATCATTCTGTGTACCATGGTGATCAACAGAGACCGTAAGTTTGAATATTCATGCATATTTAGGGACATCTTTTTGTGGACAATACTGGAAATAATTAATTATAACTTATTTATCCAAGTGCAAGTTGATGCACCCTGCCCTAAACTACACCTTAAGTGTCTATATGTTTATGTGACTTAATTACTTGGCTATTTAACCTGAAGTTAACTGAATAATTCATTTGTGTCGGTTGTTTGAATTTGCTCATTGATGTTTACGGCTGCGATTGATCAGTCTCTTTTGGTTTATGTGCATTATGTACAAATTACCTCAATATTGGCATTCAGTCACAAACGTTATAACCCGAGTTGGATGGTGGGTTATCATGCTTGTGATTTAATGGCAATATCGGGATAATTCGCGCATAATAATAATAAAAGAGTATTAAATCAAAATTCCGAAATTTCCATATTGTTTAACAAGAAGAGAGTTAACTAATCGAACTATTCGAAACCAGGACCTGTCAGTCTCGCGCCAGGCGCTTAACCAACTAGACCACTGAGCCGGCATCCAACAGTGTTAATGTCTAACTTCAACTAATCCACGAAGTAGCGCCACTGTACACCATTGTCTTCAGTGAGTTCCTATCTCAAAACAGACCTGGTTGAACTCCACTAGTAACGACTTCTCACTAGAGCTCCAGGAGTATCTCTTGAAGTCAGCCACTAGTGAGCAAGTGATTATTATCAGAATGGGTTTTGTGAAGATTTTTAGAAATTTCTTTGGTTAAGTGCCTGGCGCGAGACCGATAAGTCCTGGGTTTGAATCTCGCAGTGGGCGGAATCATGGATGGGCACTGCTGAGGAGTCCCATGCTAGGACGAAACGGTCGTCCAGTGCTTCCAGGTTTTCCATGGTGGTCTATCTTTAATTGACTCATGATTTCAACCAGTGAAATTTCCAAAATTCTCCACAAAATCCATTTTGATAATCGAACTATTGCTGTTTAAATAATCTTTATTGATAAAAGTATTTCTGATACTGTGATATAAAGTAAATACACCGGTTTCAACTAATGAACAACATTATTACGTTTAAGTTGTAAGAAGCTGATCAGAAACCATGGAATAAAATGAATTCATGTTATTCAGTTATGTTTGTATTGCTTGTTCTATTCAAATTTATTAATAAAAACACACTGTATGAAGTATTATTCTTTAGCTTGAGGTCTGTCAGCGAGATTATAATTTATGGACAAACCAATCAGATTGAGGATAACAGGTTTTAGATTCATTTACCCATTTGGTTAAATAGAGTCTTGGCATTATAGCTGATGTCAGTTCATGATGAAAACCTTAAATCTAATTCCTAACCCTAACCATCAACTGTAAATCATAATCCTTATTCTTCAAACTGCTTTATAACCCTCATTTAGCCCTAGTAAGTAGGTAGACACTTTCAAGATCACTTTAGCGTCGCTCAAAGATCGTCCATAAATTATCGTCTCACCGTACAAATTAGTTGCTTTACAATTTGGTATTCAAATCTGTATCTAAATGCTTATTATTTTTTCTCAATTTACTCGAGATATTAGTTAAAGCTGTTTAATTGCGAATATAAATATAAGGTTACATCACATTACGTTACATAAATAATAGAATGATTGATTCATTCTTAAATCGTAAACTAATCAACTAAATACAACACTCACATTTCGTCTTTAAGCAATTCGAAAAAAATAATGGAGAATTAAGATATTTGTCTATTACTCATCTACTTTCAGTCAACCGAGAACTCTAATTACTCACTATTCTTGACATTTGATATAACAATAGACATCACAGAAGTGTATTGATGTAATTTTATTAGATTGAGATCATGAACCGATTGGTGTTAGACCATCATTGAAAACCTAAAAGTACTGGACGGCGGTTTCGTTCTATTATGGGACTCCTCAACAGTACGCATCCGCGATCCCGCCTCACGAGATTCGAACCCAGGCTCTCTGGGTCTCGCGCGCAAACGCCTAACATCGAGACCACTGAGCTCGGGATCCAACGGTGTTAATGTCTAATCTCAACCAATTCACGAAACTGTTCGACCATCTCCCATTGTTGAATATTTCTACTGAATTATAACGATTGTTGGATGAAATATATTTACTTATCCATTAGAATGACTACTGTTATTTAATTGGAACGATTGGATGACTTAAATATTAGAAATCAAGTTTATTATCATTTTAATATGGTTTACTAAAAGAAGGAAAAAAGGAATAAATAAATGCGGAGAAAAAAGTCAACTCTTTAAAATAACTTAATTTTACAATCAATTTACAGTAATAAAAGTACAAATGAAGGTCATAGGCAAAGTTATTTTATTATATTACTGATAGGTTTTAATAATTTATGAGAGAAATAAAGAATTCAAGGGTAGGAGAAGTAATAAATACTTTCTTTATAAGGAAATATAGATAAAGGCTAGCAGTGGAATCCAGGACGTGCGTTTCGTCCTATTTGGGACTAGTCAGCTGGATGTACCTGCATCTCAAAATTGATGTTCACTCTATGACTCGAATCCATCGCGTTATCCACTTATCTACTGTGTTCTGATAGACACTTGCTTGTGGAATGGTGTGACGTTGAAATTCACTTGGTATTGTTTACTTGAATGTGCTAGCCACTATCTACATTTGCTTATAATACATATGAATTAAGGCAATATCGAAGCAATCCGCACAGTATGTACATATGCTAATAAGAAACTGATCAAATGAGGTGCTGAACACTAATGGAAAGATTCAAGTTAACAATGCCAAGTAAATTTAAACACTTTCTTTTTTAACAAATATTATTTGTCTTTCAAGGTAAAGATAATTTTAACCATGTAAAATCATTGTAAACCCGATAAGTATCGAACATTTCTTTTGTCCAAGTTTTAAACTGTTTGATATAGTGTAACTACGACTTCACACTAGAATGATAAGAGGTTTCATGTTGAGCATGATAGTATTCAATCATCAAACTGATATTCTATATTTAATGTTAAGAAATTTTTAATGAATATCACTTTTAAGTTTCTGTATTACTTATTATCTCATTCAAAGTTATAGTTATAAACTACTTTGAAGGATTCACATGTTAGAATGTAACAATTGTCTGTTTCATACACATAGTTCCCTTTATCATTTTGAAAAGAGCAAGAACAAACATTTTAGCAGAATAGCGTGAATTCATTTTTATTTCGTTGATTCTCGTCAGCTGCTTACAACCTGTGATATTTAATATCATAATTACACAATCGGTTTAAATTACTTACATGAAAGAGTTTCATTGGAAGTTATATGAAAGACATATTCGTATAGTATAGCAAAGGTGTAAATAAATTGAATAGACTGAATATTGTGAATATATATACCTTATGTGATGAAAGAACATTGTGACAACAGTTCAAACGGCTAGAAACAAGTAAACATTGATACGAATAAAATGAGTAGAGTTCAGTTGATAAAATAAGATTACTGATTTGGAAGATAGTTGGAATAAAACTCAATGATGTGATAAGTGCAAGAAAGAGTTTTAAAAAAAAGAAGAAAGAATATATTAAGATACAGCGAAGGAATATTAGTCACCAACGCAAGGAAAGATTAACAACCATCTCCTTTTGAACATATAAATTAGGATTCTGGCGTCTGATAGCAACTGCCTCAGCAAAATTCAGAAGACTGGAGTTTGGCTGCTTACTAATCACCTTGAATGATTGCAGGGTATCGACTTGATGTCCTGTATCAAGAAGATGTTTGGTGATTGCACTATTTAGAGTCTTTCTCTTATTCTGAGGCTTTTTGGAACATGTTCAAAAAATCTGAGATATGCCCTCCTTTCTGTTCGACCAATGTATCTGCTTTGGCAGGTACATGTAAATTTATAAATACAATTGGCGGTAACATGAAAAGGATGCTTATCAACCTTTGATTGAGTTATTGAACATGTTGTTTTATACACAATTTATCAACTGAACTCTACTCAGTTTATTCCCATCAATGTCTACTTGTTTCTAGCCCTTTGAACTGTTGTCACAATGTTCTTTCATCACATAAGGTATATATATTCACAATATTCAGTCTATTCAATTTATTTACACCTTTGCTATACTATACGAATATGTCTTTCATATAACTTCCAATGAAACTCTTTCATGTAAGTAATTTAAACCGATTGTGTAATTATGATATTAAATATCACAGGTTGTAAGCAGCTGACGAGAATCAACGAAATAAAAATGAATTCACGCTATTCTGCTAAAATGTTTGTTCTTGCTCTTTTCAAAATTGTCTGTTTGTAGCTCTCATTTTTCAATACCTATTCAGTTAATATCATTTTGTAATGAAAATTGATAGATCCTTAAAATCATACTATAATTATGACCCAAACAGATGATAAGATAGGAGCTCTTGTACCTCTGCTCAAAATCTGAAAACGGTTGAAGGATAGTTAATATCTTCATAGAAGCTAAGTAACTACTACTGACACTCAGTAAATGATAAACATGGGGAAATTAAGGAAACAATATCATGGTTCATACATGTTAATGATTACTTAAAGGCTTTTAAAATTGGAAATCAAGGAACTAAACATACAAGTATTTATTCATGTGAGTCTATAGAGAATTCTCCCACTCAGTTGTTAATCGTTACTTCCAACTCTTAAAGCTATATTCTAACCGTAACTCTAATTTCTAAGTTAAACCCAAACATCCAACTCTAAATTCTTAACACTTGACCATAGCCACGGACTCAGGCCCGACTCCTAACCCCTAAACATAAGCCCAAATTCTCGAACAAAGCGCTTAACATCTTTTGGTTTAATGTAATAAATTATTCATTTATATGATCAGCATTCTTATTCGCTCAAAATCCGCTTTACTTCCTTAAAGTCACTCAAGGATTCATTAAACAAACTACCTTCAGTTTAGACTAACTCCCTCTCTTTTATTTTACATATTTTAGATTTGGTGATAAATTTATAAAATATGATCAAATTCCTGGTGAGTATGGTCATAGTGCAAGATCTAGGCATGCATCCGGTGCATATTATCCATCAGATGAAATCACTTCATACAGAGAAGTGAATAATCGTTGTCCTCCTAATGATCCCCGATTACATGGTAATACCTATTTGGATTCTACATATCCAGGTGATTCCTTCCCTTCTGATCCATCGGATTCACCATGTCAAAGTGGCGGTGGTGATAGTGGTACAAAATATGGTTTGTCTTATGGAAAGGGTTCAGCGCATGAATTTGGCAGACATCAAGAAATCAGGTATAGAAGTGATCAAAATTTTCCTTCGCAATCACCATATTACAAACAAAACTATTCCTCTAGTCCTTTTAGTGGTAAGTTAATTGATTTACATAATTTTAATGCATAGTAACAGTTGTGTTCATTTTGTAGCTTACGTTTTGGATTTAGTTAAAATAGTAAACTATTAAAAATCAGTAAACTTTTTACAACTGTTTCATCCTGCTATAAAACTACTGGGCAACACGGATCCATTACCATTTAAAAGATTGGACTCAGCGACTTTAGGCTTCTCAGAGAGTGCTTAACCTTAAGACCAATGAGCTGGCATCCAACCGACTGATGTTATAAAATGTGAACTAGTGGATGATAAACTAATGGTCTGAGGATTAAAGACAATCTGAGAAGCTAGAAGAATCTCGGTTCGGATCGTGGAGTGATCTTGGGGTGCACATTACTGATAAATCCAATATTAAAACATAAGAGCCTTTTATTGCTTTCTGGTTTTCAACGGCTGTCTAACTTAATTCAGTCCGTGATTTAAACTACGATTTGTACAATTTCCTTAAATTAATTCTAAATTACGATCAATTGTTCGGCATAATCGACTACAGTTTATTCTTTAAACAGCCAACGATAAGGTGGGAAGAATCAAAGAACTGTTAGTTATTTCGCCACCTCCATTTTAGCCATTTGTTGCACAATAAGTCTAACTATTTTGTTCAAATATTTTTTAGATCTATATTATACAAGTAATTACTAAATAACAGTCATTCATTTGGACAATAATTTTATCATCCGATATCTGATCATTTGACATTTCAAGATCAATACCATGAGCCCATTCTCTTAGCACTCTGTTCTATTATTACATCTTAGTTATAGTGAATTCAAAAATAAAAGTTTCCCAATTAGTATATTTTTGTACAGTATGACATTTCAATCAATTTGTTAAACTTACTGAAATGTGTCGATAATTGGTTACAGTAATTCTCTGAGCTGGATGGTTTGACCGTGCAACTTTCATCGTTCTTCTGAACGACATCATCAGCACAAACTTCAGATATAAGTGAAGTGTTCCATTTTTCCACATATGGTTCACAGCTTGGTTACAGTAAATAATTCTTGGCACAAAATATGCAATCAGTTTGTATTGAACAAGTATCAAATTTAATGTTTTCCGATTCAGTTGAAGAACAAACAATAGGGAAGATATATGAACTGCTATGGTAATTCCATTTGAATTTTGAGATAAATAGTAACCTGCTTCGTAAACATTTACAAGTGAATTATGCTAAGCATTATGTTTTGAACTCTTGGAAATGACTTCTGAACTGATTCCCAATGTTCCAAAAGTCTCTCATTTGAACCCCAAACAGAAGAATGGAAAAAATATTTCACTTTTAGGGTTGCTTTGTTACAGAAAATAAGGATATTTATAAGTTTGTGTATGATTTTGACGCTGTAGTGGCTTCCTGAAACATGCTAAAATTAGTAACAACGCCAGTCAATCAGGAAATAACGTATAATTCGTCTCTCTTCTTTAACTCTTTGAGATGTTTCTATTAAACGCTGATTGGATGAAATATCTTCTAGCATTTCATCAACGTTTGGAGACTTGTCCAAGAAATACTTGAGGGCTTTCAACAACTTATATGGTTAAATTACATAACTAATTGGCTGAACAAAATTCAGAAATGGAGAATTTATTGAACAGTCGGAAAATAGGTGGTTCAGAGAATTGGGGAAGCCTCTGATAAATTCCTAATACGTACACCTGATTTAGCACTTAAGAGTATTTACAAAGATAATTATATATATATATATTGAATATTAAGCACCAAAAATTATTGTTAGCTTTCATAGTTTCCATTTTTGTTTAATTAATTAGCACAACGACGAAATAAACCAAATTGGGAAACATATCGTTATGGTGCTGTACCACCAAGGTATCGTGACCAATTACGTCATCATCAGTTACATCATCTTTCATTTAGTAGTTCAGATGGAGAAGATTTCAGTGTTGTTGATGATGGCTCAGTACTATATCAAGAACCAAGACGTCGATTATTACCGACAAATTTTGAAAGAAAAAATTCACCATATTCTCAAGGAACTGTGACAGATGATGATGATCCAGCTAGTCAATTTTATATTAGTAAACGTTCAACAACACCATATTACGATAGACAGTTAAAACCAACTGTATGGGATCAAGATAAAGCATTATCTTTATGTGATGAACCACCAGTAAGATATGCGTACAGTGATGAAGCTCAACCTGTATATCATAGACAACTACCTGAGAATAGATCTATGGGATATCAAAAAGGTCAGTTTTATTTAGTAATATTTAAAGTAAGATGAAAAATAAATGGAATTTTTATTCATTATTCATGTAGAGAAGTATGAATAAGCATTAGCCTGTTCAAAAAATACACAAAATGAGATCACAAAAAACGTTATTTCATAACGTTTGATATTCAAAATCAGTATTACCCTCTTCAAACCAGCCCTCGTGACAATAAATCTGTTCAGTCTTCGTTCTCATTGTTCAGAGTAAAGTTAAAAGTTCTCAGGAGTTAGGCTATTTAGTTGCCTCATACTTACTTACTTACTTACGCCTGTTACTCCTAATGGAGCATAGGCCGCCGACCAACATTTTCCAACCCACTCTGTCCTGTGCCTTCTTTTCTAGTTCCATCCAATTCTGTTCATTTTTCTCATGTCTATCTCCATTTCCCGGCGTAATGTGAGTTGCCTCATAGTTTCATGTTTTCATTGCGCTAAATGTTTTGCTAAAATCATATACTTAAACCAGATGTGCCCAACTTCAGTTCATCATTAATCATCTAAATAGTAAATCAGCGATTAAAAAAAGCATGGGTGATTTCATATATTCGATGTATTCATCCACATAAAAGAGATTGATTTTTATGTTGGGATTTTATCGTCTTTATATTCTTTATGATCTCCTCTGAAACATCTAATCCACTTGAAAAAAGATTCATTCTCTGCAATAGATTAAACATTTTGTTACTTTTAAGGTTTTTATTACGTTATTCTAAAACATTAATTAGCTCATCTTGTAACTTAATTGAACAAGTCAAATATAATTATGGGTACAAATATTAAAGTGTACTGAAAATGTCGAGTGAACATAAATCTTTGGTTACATGTACAGAAATACATTGACTTGTAGCCATTGGAGAAATGAATGTTGTTGAATGTGCAATATAACATTGAACGTGAAATTATGCTATTCAACACTGTAGCTATCACTTAAAGATTCTAAGCACTAAAGGAAAAAAAAACACAACCTAACTTCTTTTCATGAGGTATAAGATTTACAAAACAATCTTACATGCGATGGTTTACTCACATTCTCTAAAAAGAATTCAATATTTGCTAGGTTTTTATTATTCATTAGTTAAAACTGTAGTAAACGTAACTGAGGGAATCCTCACATAGTTTTGACAAAATTAACTTTACACAGGAACAGTATAGCTATAAACAATTTCAATTGGATCGATGCAACCTATAATATGTTACATCAAGCCATAATATATCATACTAACACAAAGAGATGGTAAAATCTTATGATGAAAATCTAAGAAGATGAAATAATATTGTGAATAATAGTGTAATGGTGAGAAGTAATAAAAACGAATGTCAGATTTAGATAAGATTAAGGATTGAATACATTTGACTCGAGAAGATTTACTTTAAGCCATGTCATCTAAAAGTGTTCAGTCATAATTTACAATAGCCTTAACTAATAAATTTACAAACCTGTTGTTTTGTCTGGAACTTGTATTCTCGCTATACCGCGTACAACTTGAGCACTGGAACACCAGAACCCTTCAAGTCGCAAGTTAGAAGACAGAAGATCAGTAAGAAGGAATCTTATTTCACACAGTATCAAATATTGTGCAAAACAAAGAGGTATTTATATTTCTTAGTAAAAATGAAATCGTTCAGTCCACATGCAGTGACTTTTAGCATTTGTCCAATCGGAAAGCTACAAGTTGAGGTCCTGGAATGTTCATCCAGAAGATGATTGGACAGAATGTCTTCAGCTCCCTTGAGTTCACCGGTGGCCGTATCTAGATTCTCCGACAGATCCGATTAACAAATGATGGTTTTTTGAGTTGACGTTATTTGTTGGCTAAGTTAGACGACTAATTATCGAGAGAAAAGTAATTGATGTTCATGTAGGAAGATTTTCATTCTTAACGGATTTTCACTACATTAAAATAAAAAAGATTTTTAACTGATGGAGCAACGTTATCAAGCTGCATTCTTCTTTTCGAAATTTCTTATATACCAATTGATTTTTCTGTTGGTTGTTTGAATATTCCCATTGAGTTTTAAGACTGCAATCGATTAGTCTCATATTGGCATATGTGCATCCTGTGCGGATCGCCTTGATATTGCCTTAATTCACAAGCATTATAATCAGAGATGGATGTTGGCTAGCAGTGGGTAACGCGATGGCATTTGAAGCGAACGGTACTAGGTTCGAGTCACAGAGTGAACATCCACTCTGGTATGCAGGTACATCCATCTGACTAGTCCCGAATAGGACGAAACGCGCATCCTGGATTCCACTGCTAGCTACCATCCATCTCCGTTCATCATATCATGCTTTTATTGGATTTGTTTACTATTTTTTACATTATCGCTAGATGTTCAATACAACCATAAAGATGGAACAATTGTTACAAAAAGGTTACCACCGAATATTTCATCAGTAGGTTGATTATATTAACAATATTTATAAATGTATTTATGGTAAATATTTGTATTAGTTTCCTTAATGAGTTACAGTCTCAATGGTGGCTTTCTTGACTCAATCAGCCACGTTTCCAACCCTTTCCCTATCTAATTAGAACATTAAAAAACACTTTCAAAGTCACTATCATTGGGTATATAGCTATCATGTACTGAGCTGATATATGGAAAGTTATGTAAAGTTAAAGGATATTTTTCATTGAAGCGATACCCACTACTGAAGAGTCCTAATCCAAAGTGAAAAATTAATTCTGCTTTTCGTTCGACTTCCAGTTGTGATGAAATTCAACATAAAACTGTCATAATCTTCATAACTTACTTAAGCTTGCTACCTCTCAAGGAGTAGCATAGGCCCAACAGCAGCATTCTTCATCCAACTCCGTCCTGGAGAATCCTCTCCAATTGTTTCCACTTGCTACTCATCCTTATCACGTCTGCTTCCAGTTCCCGACATAGTGTGTTTCTTGATCTTCCTCTTTTCCTTTTTCCATAGGGATTCCAATCTACAGCTTTCTTTCTGAAAGCGATTGGTGATTTTCTCAATGTACATCCTATCCACCTCCAGAGCCTTCCTAATTTCCTCTTTAACTGAAAGTTGATTTGTTCTGTCTCACAGTAGGTTGTTGAATATGGTATCCGACCAACGAACATTGAGTAGCTTAATTAGACTACTTTTTATTAATACTTGTGCATTTTTTATGATGGTTGTAGTAGTTTTCCACGTTTCAGCTCCGTACGGTGGAACTGTCTTGAGGTTCGTATTGAAGATTCTGACTTTGATATCGGTTGACAGTTGTTTTAATTTCCATATGTTCTTCAATTGTATAAATGCTACCCTTGCTTTGTTAACCAGTAGTTGGTTTGCCATTTTTGTCGCTTCCATGAATCTACTGAATTTGATCGATCCCGTTTTCTGTAGTCTTGTCTATTCCGACCTTAGGGTCTGTGTCTTCCATCAAGATGGTCAGGTCTTTTCCTGAGCAGTTCCCTATGATGAACTGCTCATCAAACTAATTTTTATCATCTTCATCCCCATCATCGTTAAGTGGGCTGGACTGGGTGACATTTGCCGTAATCACTTCCTCAATTGGTTTGAAGGATACTTTGATGATCCTTGGTTCATGAGGTTCCATACCTATAAGTGCTATACGCGCCTCCGTGAAGTTCACCAGTTTAGCTCTTTGTGTAATTGGAGGGGCTGCGATTTTTCATGGTCATAATACAACAGTATTTCTCGTGAAGACAGTCATTTCCACCTAGATTTTTTCCGATGAATTTCACTTACCATAAAATGACTCAGGGTATATCTTTTCATTTTCGATACTGTTTGAATGACTCTTCGGGTTTCTCGCATTTTCCATACATTCCATGTACATGTATTAGGTGTTACTCTTGTTGTGATAATCGGCATCGACCTGGTGAATTCTGAAGATTTTCGGGTGTTACTATAATTTATGGAGGACCTTCGAGTGACGCCGAAGTGACCTTGAAAATGTCCACATTCTTACTGGGTTATAAAGCAATCGGAGCAATTAGGATTATGATGATTGGAGCTAGGAATTAGATTTAGGGTTTTCATCACGAGTATTGAATAAAAGGTGAGATTTTATGCCATAGTTACATTGTGAGGATAATCTTATCTATGAGCAATACTCAAATAACGAAGGTAGAAACAAAAATGTTTTGAATTCAAATGTGCAATGATTACGGTTAATAATTTAAATCGCACTCCTCAAAACAGTTAATAACCAAAAATTAGTGGGGGAATGGTGTAACTGAATAGTGCTATTCTTTAACATTTCACTTTAACATTCACTCTTAGTCCTATCTCAAAACTACATTATTATTGTAAACTACTGTATTTAATAAAATGTCTGTGACTGAAGTCAAATATTGATGAGAGTAACCTTTATTCTTCTACTGAATAGGTTCGTTAGTCATTTAGATTGTAAGCTTTCAACCTTGTTAGTATAAAAACTTGTCTAAAACTTGATGTCGGGATGGTCGAAGGCAGTCGGTAGCCAACCATCAACCAAGACCTTATGAGAGTTGGCTCTAGGTTTTTGCAGTGGAAATAGTGTGTCTCGGGAGATTCAGAAATAAGAGATTCTTCTTTTTTTAGAAGTTATGATCTCTTTAACAGTGATTGACTTATAATCCTAGATTCAGGTACCCACACGATACCACATAACTATTAAGACAGAAGCCAATAATCCATATATTCAACTTAATTCTCTTCAGGTTTATGGGCATATACTTCAGAAGATTTCCAGACTAGAATGGTTCAATTATTTGATTTTTTTTTCTAGTTTTCCCCTGGTTTGTCTAAAAACATCAATTAGTGATGAAAATGTTTATTAAAATGAATTTTAATAGTTGAGATCATGAGTCAATTGAAGCTAGACCATCATGGAAAAAATATGCCTACTAGTGACTGGCTTCAAGAGGTATTTCCTGCAGTTCTAGTGAGAAGCAGTGACCAGTGGATTTCAATAGGATTTGTTGTGAGATAGTAACTCACTGAAGACAATGGTGGACCGTGTCTCAATTTCGTGAACTAGTTAAAGTTAGACATTAGCACTGTTAGATGCCAGCTCAGTGGTCTAGAGGCTAAGCGTTCGCTTGCGAGACAAATAGGTCCTAAGTTTGAATCTGGTGAGGCAGGATCGTGGATGCGCACTACCGAGGAGTCCCACACTAGGACGAAATGGCCGTTCAGTACTTCTAGGTCTTCCGTGGTGATCTACCTTCAATTGATTCATGATCTCAACTATTAAGATTACTATAATATCCACAAAAGCCCTTCTGATACTAAAATGAATTTATTTAATTTATTTTCTAAAACTTTTTTTTCACAAAACCATATTCTTTTAAATTAAAGTCTCAACCAGTAACTTGGAGTGTTTCAGAGAATGGTAAACGTTTAATTGGTCATATGATTTTACAAAAGAAAACTGATCCACATTTTGGTGAGCCTGGATTAGGTAAGTTAAATAAAATTTTTATGTTGATTTCTCAGCTTGTAAATAAATCCATAATTAACCATTAAAGATTTTTTCCCTGCAGTTTTTGTCTTTAATTACTTTCCCAAAACTCATTCATATTTGTGATGATTGATTTCTAGTGAGAAATCATATACAGATGTGGTTTTCATTTAATGGTTCATTAGCCATATTTATTACTATGATGAGTTGATTTGAATGTCAGTCAGTCAGTCAGCTACAACGTAGGACCAGGCACATATATACATCGGTCCAAGTTTCCATACCGCATTAGCACAGCAAGATGAACACCGGATTCATAGAAGTAGTTAATTCAGTGGTGGTAATATATAAACACAAAGATTGAATATAAGGATATAGTACATGAAAAAAAGAATTAGTTGGTAGAAAGAAATATATGAAGCGATTTTAATCTCATAGTTTAAGGGAAGACAGAGAGTGTATACACAGACGCCATTGTGATGGATGCTGAGCCATGTCACCCAGAGTCAACAACCAAGTAGTCTGCATCTACCAACATGGCCAAGACTAGGAGTTCGTGTCTTCAAGCACTGATGCCCCTAACTTTCTTCCAACCATCCACAACACTAGTCAGCGTTGCTTATCGTGGTAATCGGTGTTCAGGCATACGTAACACGCGGCACAACGATCTCAGTCGATGAAGATTCACAACTCATTTTAGTGAACCATTGTAATCACTATTTGATTTTTCGATTGATTAAATAGTTAAGAGTACATTGAATGAATAACATCAAGTTTATCAACATAATTATTAGACTGAGATAGATGTTTCCATGCTCAACCCTACTGCTTTCTACTGTATGGAGCTGAAACTTGGAGAACTACAACAACCACAATCAAGAAAGTACAAGTATTTATAAATAGCTGCCTACGCAAGATACTCAACATCCGCTGGCCGGATACCATCAGCAATAGCCTTTTGTGGGAGAGAACAAACCAACTTCCAGCTGAAGAGGAAATTAGGAAAAGACGATGGAAATGGATAGGACATACATTACGCAAATTGTCAAACTGCATCACCAGACAAGCCCTAACTTGGAATCCTGAAGGGAAGTGGAAAAGAGGAAGGCCTAAGAACACATTACGTCGGATAATAGAAGCAGATATGAAAAGGATGAATAGGAACTGGAAGGAGCTGGAAAGGATTGCCCAGGACTGGGTTGGATGGAGAATGCTGGTGAGTGGCCTATGCTCCTTCACGAGGAGTAACAGGCGTAAGATGTTTCCAAAGGTTACTAGACTTCACTCGGATACTCACTGTATTCATATGTTCATTCAACAATCTGCTGAAGGCAATCATGATTACGATTAGCTAATAGAATAAAGTATCAATCTTCTTAACCAATAGGAATAATCTTGGCACAATCAAACAACAAATCATATTATATTATCAAATCAATCAGAATCCATATAGCTAACTTCAGGTCTTAACAGTTCAAAAAGTGATTTCAACTAGTATTCATTTACCTGTAAATGCATGGTACAGGGGTGAGCCAATTAGAAACGTGAACGTGACTTTTATTCGGTTACGTCAAAAACCTAATGTCACGTAATAGCAAGCAATAGATATATCTTTGTACGCTGACCAAAACATTTAAAATTATAGCGAGAATTGGAAATAAAACGAAGGCTCAATCCTATGTCTATAGATTGTAGGTAGCAGCCATATCAATGATCCCTAATTTGTAATACTTATTACTGAGACAAACCTGAACCCCGAACAAATCAGACAGTGCCTCTCAAATTGAATATTTATTTATCCATAAAGCTACAGAGTATTGTTTCATTGTTTCTGTTGTCAGTTGGTGGTGAGGAAATTCTAACCATTAACCCTCAATTCTTATCCCTAACGTGTAAGCTAATCAAGAAAAATTTGGGGACTCTTAGAAATCTTAGGTTTCCATAATAGTTTGAGAATGTGGGTAATCTATGTTAACAAAGACGAATTTACCTGTGTTGGTTTTCCCAATTTACAAGCAGACTTACCCTCAGAAAACGTTAGTCGGTACTTAATGTAAGATCTGTAAAGATTTTGGAATATTTTCCACAAACTTTCCATTTACAAGGACTTCTTTCTGATTGACTAAGAAATGGCTGGAAATTTGTCGTGATGGTGTTTTCAGCTCGTCGCTATGCTTACGATCTTGTTGTACTCCAATATCATTTCGACGTTTGTAAAATATTTATGGTTCGTTAGATTATCTGTAGGCTACACCGTTCTTCTATCAAATGATTGAATTTTGTAGCGGTGCTTTTTTAAAATTAACCTTTATAATGTCATAAGCTACATAATATCACCGTATACAATTAGGTTTCACTTTTACGTCCTGAATACTGATTGACTAATATTGTGCATCAAAATTCTAAAGCGATCTTCAACCTCGTGCAATGAAACCAGTATTCCCTGGTCTACCAACAATTCAACACCTTTTTATTACTATATTACAAATTGTATCATATTATATTTCTGATACAATTTTTTTTTAAATCAGGTCTTAAATTAGCTGGTGGTCGACTCGACAAATCTGGACATTTATCAGCATTTGTGACACAAATTAAACCAGGAAGTCCAGCAGATATTATTGGGCATTTAAAATCTGGTGATGAAATTTTAGAATGGAATGGACAACCATTACGCGGTCTTAGTGCTGATGATGTTTCACAAATCATATATCAGTCAAGAGATGAATTACAAGTGGAATTATTAGCTCAAAGAGAATTGAAGTACGAGTTTTATTTAATAACAAAATTCATTTATTTTGTAAATAAGTAGGCTAATGAATGACATTGTTATACATATATAATGTGGTAAAGATGTTGTTTAATAACTAAGATGTGTACTTCATAATCATACGGACTTGAGAAAATTGTTAGTAGCAACCAACTCAGTAACTAACTAACTAACATATTACAGCTTCGAGATAATGGAGATTTGTAGCTTAGGTGGATGATTTTGATGGAGTTTTGTTCTTTCAGCTGGACAGTTTAGTCGTGGAGCTTTTATCGTCCTTCTGAACGACATCATCAGCACAAACTTCAGGTAGAAGTGAAGTGTTCAAATTTCTCCACATGTGGTTCACAGCTTGTCCTGTACACCTCGATGTTGATTGGTTCTTGTTGACCTTCTACCTGAAATTTGTGCTGATGATGTCATTCGGAAGAAACATGAAAGCTCCTTGACCAAACCAACCAGCTCAGAGAACAAAACTCCACCAAAATGAAGAAATTTAATTCAATAACTGTTTATCAGTCTATCATTCAATGAAATTTTGAAATCAGTGTAACTACTGTTATAATACTTGAATAATATGTTCCTTTTTTTCTCATTACTTTTCTGTTCATTCATTCAGTGAACCTGCAAACAGTAAGTTTTTAATCAGTTTTTGTTTTGTACTTTTGGGCTTAATAAAATTTCTATATAAGATATTTGATGTTTACCTGTTGGCTGTTCACCTTATTTAAAATTGTAATAAAATTGTAAGATGATGAAAGTCTTAGTTATAGGTTCATACCTAGTGATAAATAATATGTTAGTTTAGTGCGCATCCACTATCCCGCCCCCGCGTAAGCGCTTAACCAGGTCTGTTGTGAGATATCAGCTCACTAATGACAATAGTGTACGGTGGCGCAATTTCGTGGATTGGTTGAATTTAGACATAAAAACCGTCGTATGCCGGCTCAGTGATCTAATGGTTAAGCGCTTGCGCACGAGACAGGTAGGTCCTGGGTTCGAATCTTGCGGAGGGCGGGATCATGGATGCCCACTGTTGAGGAGTCCTATACTGGGACGAAACAGCCGTTCAGTACTTCCAGGTTTTCCATGGAGATCTAGCTTCAACTGACTCTTGATTTCAACTATTGAAATTTTCCCAATCTCCACAAAATATCCTTCTGATTATTATCATCATTATTTGTAATTATTCATTATAAGCACACTGATGGTATATGAACGAAGGATGTTCTTTTGTAGTGTCGGTTATTATGTTAAGCCCATATACCTTATTCTAACTTCTGGATAAGCCAATTTATCCATTCTTCTTGAGTTACTTTTTGACCTTGTTAATTATTCACTTATCAACCTTGACTGTTTTTATATGAGCGCATATATGTGTTCCCTTCTTATCTCATTCATCACATGTTTGTAGATTAATTTTGTGTGGCTATAAATATTGATTAACACTTGGTTAAATGAGAGTTGGCTCACATGCATTTTGCACTGCACGTCATTTCTCTTCACTCTCTTCTCTTCGCTTCATTCCTTGATTACCTGTCCAAATCAATGAATGCATGAAATATACATATTCAAAATCCATTCTCGTATTTGACTTATTTAATTACGTTATTCACTAACGTGAATTAAGTCGATGATAATATACGAGAATTGAGGATATGTATATCTCAATAGCAATCTGAAACGATCTCACTGGAGTTAGATCCCGGGCCATTATTCGGATTAGAAAAGCTAGGACTTTATGTGCAAAAGAAATGTATCCAAATGTTACTGTTACTTTGACTAACTACAGGCTCAACAGGATTACACAATCGTTCACATTTTCAAAACTTCATCCTCAGTATCTTTGTATTACTGTCATTCGTACTGTTATTATTAATCTTATGAATGCTGGGAATATTTAATAAGCATTCACGTCTACTATTGTTTACTGGATTTAGATCTCACTCTACACATTACGTAATCTTTGGCCAAGCATTTGATTTAATTTATGATTACAGTGTCCCTTAAAGCCAAACTAGTTGATGAATCCTGTAAGCTTTCTACAGAAGAGGCATTCATGGCAGCACGCCACAACTACTGGGGCGCAATAGTGGTTTATGCATCTGTTTTTTTTTGGTTTTCGGTGTTATTTTCTATTCAGTAATCGATGAACATTGGTGTACTACATAGCAGTGATTGGTCATTCTTTTTTTTCCGTCGGTAGTTTTGTTTTACACTAGTTGTATGAACATTAGTGTAGTTCGTTGGTTGTGTTTCTATATAGTCTTATATGTTCATATGGTTTTGTGTTTCAGCTGTCGGTGTGCTTTGGGTGTGTTCTGGATGACATGTTTTCAGATGCCTTTTTAGCCATCTTGCAGTTTTACGATAAAAAAAATGTATCTGTAGACAAACTAAATCCTACAGTAATGTTGATTCGACTTATGATTAAAAAGAACTTTTCTTCTTACTCATTAAAAAGTAGTATTTGAAAGTGAAGCTTGCAGTGATTCTTTCACTCTATTTATCTTTCATATGTATATACGATAGTATTTGAAGAGCTTAGTATATAACCAAATCTATCTTCTGAATATATTATGTCTTTGGAATCTATTACTGACGAGTTTAGAATTAAAATAAAACAACTAGCATACTGACCCTGATTTCAAATGGTTAACCAGCTGATGTCAGTGGTACCTAATGGAAATTATGTCCACCACATGGATTAGTTTATGTTGATTAACTGCCTATCATGAAAACGAAAATGAATTTGTAGTGCACATTATAATAGATTGAATTTAGCTTAGACACAACTATTGGAAATCGAACTTCAATATGCATCCATGATGAAATTTAAACTTATACTGTTTTTCTGAGAAGAAATATGCAAATTATGCAAACAAACTTAACGGTTCATTTAATTACAAGTCATTTGATTAGTTTGTTTTATTGTAATTGATACACTGCTTTTAATTTTTCCCCTCATATCCCATTTATCTTAGCACCAACTGATGATTTTGTATTAATGGTTCCGAATCGTTCTGATTGTCTTAATCCGAATGAAATGGATTCCGTTGAGCATAATATTAAATCTAGTTTACATGTATGTTACTTTTTCAGGATTTCTTATATAAATATATAAAGAATATGATTGTTTTGATGAAATGTGTATGAATTTTCACAATTGTCATAGTTTAGGCCACTTCTTAAATGGTCTGATCATGATCACACATTAATTGAAGTATGTCGTTGGCATGAAAACTAGACATTGAGCTTCTCATCAATTTCCTCTGACTACTTAGCAACAAATATAACACAAGGCAATTTCAAGTTAAAGTAGCAATGTGACTGAGTCGAAGTTAATGCAATAATCGGAATGAATCTAGACTGATACACTATTCGACAACAAATACTACTATTATTGTCAGAACTTATTATCCCAGTGAGTTACGAAATTTCAGATGACAAAGATCTCATCTGTGACTGAAGAATTGTTATTTACGAAGAGTGTCACCTTTTATATACAGTTGAAAGCAATGTAAAGTACAACGAAGGAGCGATTTAATGGTTTGTACCGATTGACATGATAGAAGATTAACCTCTTTAACCAAGTTGTTCCCAAAACGTAGCAACATGATACATTCCTACATCATTTAAAATTAACCAAAAAATGCTTATTTCTACTTCGGCCTCTTTGTATCACTTAGGGTACTGGCTATAGCGAAACTCGGTTTCTTGGATTCGATCGATACGAAAGATTAGACAGTATTACACAAGTCACTACTAATTGTTTAAATAATGTGTCGATTTTTCAGTAATACTGGAAGTTAGTCTCTTTTCCAATAACTCGATGATAATAAATCCAACCGCTGATATGGACTTGATCTTCTATCATCAGTTACCTGAGAATCGCAGTTAGGTTCCGTGGATAAGTATCAACTAACAAGAGATTTAGGTCCAAGCTTTTTTATTAGCTAAGTACAGAACAATTAATTATTTCGTGCATCTTTAAAATATCTCTCTAGGGAGTACAAATGACTCTATACAAGATGCAAACACAGAGTTCGAGCATCACAATGAGTATGATAACTAAAAGCCATTAAATAGAAGTCCAGTTTTGTACATTTCTGACTGGCAATAGAGCGTGACTATTATTCCCTTAACTTTCAAAATAGTTAACTTCATACGTCACTGATCTTTCTCAGAACTTCGGAAATGCTTCTTGAAATAACATTTACTTATTCCCTTGGTATTCTTTTACTTGAATCTTCCCATTGATGTTTTAGGACTGAAATTGATCAGTCTCTTATTGGTATATGTGCATACTGTGCGTATGCCAATAAGAGACTGATCATTTTCAGTCCTAAAACATCAATGGGAAGATTCAAGTAAAACAATACCAAGTGAATTAAACTTCACCCCATTGCACAAGCAAGTGGCTATCAGGACTCAGTAGCTAAGTGGATAATGCGATGGCTTTTGAAGCGAACGGTACTGAGTTCGAGTCACAGAGTGAACATCAACTCTGAGACGCAGGTACATTCAGCTGACGAGTCCCAAACAGGACGAAACGTGTGTCCTGGATCCCACTGCTAGCCACTATCCATCTTTGCTTATAATTCACTTATTTCGTCAAAGTTTGTCAATCGATATTTTATAATGAAGATTGGGCATTGCTTCATTTTACTAAACTAATTTGAATTATTAATAACAACATGGAAGAATAGTATATTTTGCTATGAAACAATTCCTATGGTACTTTCTAATTCCCCTGTTATATTTAAGATTGTCTTCATATTGAATGTTAAGATCACTTCTATCTCTTTTATATTTATGTGTTATTTTGTAGCTGAAATTATTCTACGACGAAATTAAACATCAATTAATTGTCACTATTCTAGAGGCTCGAAATCTACCTAATATAAATAAGGCTTCTAGAATGCCATGTAATTTTTATTGTCGTTTGTGCCTTCTTCCAGAACAAATGTAAGTTCATTATGATTAGAGAGTCTTCTTTCTTCAAAAATTTTTTTTATACACTAGATTCCATATCAACGATACTTGATTTATTGTACAAATTGATGAATTATCCATTAAACCTTAACATTCTGTATTTCATTTACAAAGTAGACATTTTCGTACTTGACTTGTAGCCTAATTCTTTTATGTACGTAAGATTTAATAGAGCTAGGCAAATTAAATTTAATAGACTAGAATTCTAACCATATCGTTATTAGTCAATTCTTTTGTTAGATGCTTATAAATTCATGATTCTTAATACAACTTCTCGACGCATAACTAAGCCAACACAGATTAAGAAGTTGATCGGCACCAGGGACTAGAGAAACAAGATATTAGTTTCTACTCAGTGACTGGCTGATATAAATATCTCAATTATAAATAGGATCAATTGGTATCTGAATACTTCAGTGGTAAGGTTTTGTGTTATGAATCTGAGTACTACGATTTCGAATCCTCTAGGGGCTTTCAGGCCCTTCTGATTGCCTTGCTAATCAGAGACAGCTAGCACAAAATTATAGGTCCAAAGTTTTCTGATGAATACTTCTAACAGCCTAACATCGAAACATATTGCACGAATTTCTGATTCACTTAGGTCAGTGGGCAAATAACAACTTGATCGACGGAATTCGATCAACAGTAGGGACTAAACAAACATGGTATTAATTATTACACATTGACCAATCAATATAGGTGTTAAAACAGTCAGTATAAACGTTTCAGTATGTCAATGAAATTAATTCCGAACAAAAAACAAGCCGTTTTTTAAAAAATAAAGAATGAGTAGTCACTTTTACTGTTCAACACTGCTTCACACTTGAGTGGTGAGGTTACGTGATAAAAGTATAATCTTATTTTTTCATAAATTATCCTTAGTTGCCAACCGAAATACAGTTAAGGCATCTGTCCAAGGAGTCAATCTTCCAATAGTGACTTTAGTTCCAAATATCCATAACTACGAAATAAAACCAAGGAGTTTTAGGCTTCCTGAAGAATGATTAACTTTTAGACCACTGAACTGGCATCTAATGGTTTATAAGCATAAATTTAATCAATCTGTTATATTATGAAACCGTCTTCTAATATGAATAACTGCCTCACACTCTGTATGGCTGAATTCCACTATCTATAACTTCTCATTAGAACACCGAGAATTGTCTACCGGAATTAGTTACTTGTGAGAACATTTTTTTACTTACTTTTACTTACGCCTGTTACTCCTCGTGAAGGAGCATAGGCCACTCACCAGCATTCTCCATCCAACCCTGTCCTGGGCAATCCTTTCTAGCTCCGTCCAGTTGTAATTCATCCTTTTCATATCTGCTTCTATAATCCGACGCAATGTGTTCTTTGGCCTTCCTCTTTTTCGCTTCCCTTCAGGGTTCCAAGTTAGGGCTTGCCTCGTGATGCAGTTTGACGATTTGCGTAATGTATGTCCTATCCATTTCCATCGTCTTTTCCTAATTTCTTCTTCAGCTGGAAGTTGGTTTGTTCTCTCCCACAGAAGGCTATTGCTGATGGTATCCGGCCAGTGGATGTTGAGTATCTTGCGTAGGCAGCTATTTATAAATACTTGTACTTTCTTGATTGTGGTTGTTGTAGTTCTCCAAGTTTCAGCTCCATACAGTAGAACTGCCTTGACGTTCGTATTGAAGATTCTCACTTTGATATTGGTTGAAAGTTGTTTTGAGTTCCATATGTTCTTCAATTGTAGGAATGCGACCCTTGCTTTGCCGATCCTCGCCTTTACGTCTGCATCTGAACCTCCTTGTTCATCGATGATGCTTCCTAGGTATGTGAAGGACTCTACATCTTCCAGAGTTTCGCCATCAAGAGTGATTGGATTGCTGTTCTCCGCTTGAATTTGAGGACCTTGGTTTTCCCTTTGTGTATGCTGAGGCCTACTGATGCAGAGACTGCTGCTACACTGGCTGTCTTCATCTGCATCTGTTCGTGTGTACGTGATAGGAGGGCTAGGTCGTCTGCGAAGTCCAAATCGTCTAATTGATTCTGAGTTGTCCATTGTATTCCGTGTTTTCCTTCAGATGTCGAGGTCTTCATAATCCAGTCGACCACCAGAAGAAAGAGGAAGGGAGAGAGTAAACAGCCTTGTCTGACTCCAGTCCTTACTTGGAATGCATCTGTCAGCTGTCCTCCATGCACTACTTTGCACTGTAGTCCGTCGTATGAGTTCCGGATAATGTTGACAATCTTCTCAGGAACTCCGTAGTGTCGAAGAAGTTTCCATAATGTCCTCCTATCTACACTGTCGAATGCCTTTTCATAATCAATGAAGTTGATGTATAGTGATGAGTTCCACTCAACTGATTGTTCGACGATGATCCGTAGTGTTGCAATTTGGTCTGTGCACGACCGATCCTTACGGAATCCAGCTTGTTGATCTCGAAGTTGGGCGTCTACTGCATCCTTCATCCGGTTCAGCAACACTCTGTTGAAGACTTTCCCTGGTATTGACAGTAGTGTAATGCCTCTGTAGTTTTCACATTTGCTCAGATCTCCTTTCTTTGGAATCTTGACGAGGTGTCCTTCTTTCCAGTCCATCGGCACTTGTTCCTCCTCCCAAATCTTTTTGAATAGAAGGTAAGCATGCTTGTGGTTGCTTCGATGTCTGATTTCAGTGCTTCAGCTGGTATGTTGTCGGGTCCTGCTGCTTTCCCGTTCTTGATTTGTCTGACGGCCATTCTAATTTCTTCCGTCGTTGGTGGGTTGACATCTATAGGAAGATCTATGTGTGCTGCTTCGATGTCCGGTGGATTCATTGGAGCCGGCCTATTCAGGAGTTCCTCGAAGTATTCCACCCATCTGTTACGCTGTTGTTGAATTTCGGTGATTGGCTTGCCTTCTTTGTCTTTGACCGGCCTCTCTGGTTTACTGTATTTCCCTGCTAGTTTCTTCGTTGTATCGTGAAGCTGTTTCATATTTCCTTCTCTAGCAGCTTTTTCTGCCGTCGTTGCTAGTTCTTCCACGTATTTCTTCTTGTCGGCTCTAATGCTCCTCTTCACTTGTTTGTTTGCTTCTATGTATTCAGCTTGTGCTTGGACTTTCTCTGCTCGTGTTCGGCTGTTGTTAATTGCTGCCTTCTTGTTCTTCCTTTCTTTGATCTTGTCCAGTGTTTCTATAGAGATCCATTCCTTATGATGGTGTTTCTTTAGGCCCAGAACCTCTTGACACGTTGAAGTTAATGCTTCCTTGATGCCTTTCCAGTTGTCCTCCATACTAGTTTCTTCTTCTTTCAGTAGATCTTGTAAGGCTTGGAACCTGTTGTTGAGAGCTATCTTGAATTCATTGAGTTTGTCAGTATCTCGAAGGAAGGCTGTATTGAACCCTATTATTATTATTATTATTATTATTATTATTATTATTATTATTATTATTATTATTATTAATAGCTTTATTCAATATTATATTATTGGTACAATATAGAATTCTCAGCACAAAGTATTTCAACAAGTTTCCGTTTCTTTCTTCTTGGTCGGTCCTCGCGATAAATACTGAGTGGTCGCCAGCTAGATGTTATCAGTCCAGTAAATGAACATGGGAATGATGTACATTCTTTTCGTTGTACATTGCCAGCAACCATATTCTCTCTTTTTGAGCTTTTTGTAACTTTAATAACGAAAGGTTGTACATTTTTCAGAAACGCAGCAGTATAGGTTGTGCGATTAATAGACATAATGATATATTAAAACAAACAAAGATAGATAACTTGTTGAAATATCTAGATGGCAGGAACAGGTAGCCCAGATGCTCAAGCAGACCTCTGTAGTGCTGTTTGTCCAGTTGTCCAGTTCTTTGTCAGCTTCAGTTTTAAATTGGCTACAACTAGGTGGTGATCTGAAGCTACGTCAGCACCTCTCCTGGTTCTCACATCTTCTATTGTCCTTCGGCATTTTTTGTTGATGCAAATATGATCGATTTGGTTCTCTGTAGTGTGGTCCGGTGAGATCCATGTAGCCTTGTGTATACGCTTGTGTGGAAATATTGTGCCTCCTATGACTAATTTGTTGAATGCACAAAAATTTGCAAATCTTTCTCCATTTTCGTTTCTTTCTCCCAGTCCATGTCGTCCCATAATATCTTCATATCCAGTGTTGTCTATTCCGACTTTGGCATTTAGATCTCCCATCAGAATAGTTAGGTCCTTTCTTCGGCATTTCTCAATGATTGACTGTAGCCGCTGGTAGAACTGATCTTTAATGTCGTCGTTGCTATCATTGGTGGGTGCATAACATTGGATAATATTCATTAAGATCCCCTCCTTCTTTGTTTTGAATGATGCTTTGATGATTCTGGATCCGTGAGATTCCCATCCTACAAGTGCATTTCGTGCTACTTTGGACAGCATAAGAGCGACTCCCTGAGTTTGTGGAGAATTGTCCTCCTCGTGACCGGAGTATAGCAGCATCTCTCCCGTAGCTAGCCTTTTCTGTTCAGCTTGGGTCCAGTGGGTTTCGCTGATTCTCAGTACTGCTAAGTTGTATCTCCTCATTTCCATTGCTATTTGACTGGTCTTCCCGGTTTCCCACATTGTTCGAACGTTCCATGTACCTATAAAAATTTTTGCTCTAGTTGTTAGAAGGGGCATCGGCCTCGTGGCTTCTGAAGGGACTCGGCTTTCACCATGAAGCGTCATAATTCTTCTAACTGAAGACCTTCTAACTCCCAGGGCAGAGTTTAGATGGTTTGGATTATTTTTTCTGGTAAGCGTTTTTTTTAGCGAGTTAGTTTTCTACGGGATGGGGACGCTAACCCCATGCCCAACCCTCCTCCTTTACCCGGGCTTGGGACCGGCAGTAACCCTATTAGAGCTACAGGCGGAGTTGTGAGAACATGATCGTTATAATTATTAATACTATTATCACTAAGAGACTCACTTTTATGTGAAGTAGATCATGTTGTCCGGAACGACAATGAATACTTTACAATCTAGTTCAAACAATACAACAATATTAAGACGATTCCAAAATGGATATTGTTTTATTTAAAGATAAATTGTAATACCATGAACTGAGTATTTAACTAGAAGAATTGAAAGTTATTGGTGTTTTATTTTTCAGTAACTGTATTTTTATACGGTACATTAACGGTTGCTATTGTTTTATACTTTCCCGAAGTTATGATTAGTTTATTATGGACCTATTACTTAGTTCCTCATCATTTATAGTGCAGTTATGCCGACATTGTAATTTCTGTTCTTGTGTGGTCAAGAGTTGAATAATTTATAAATTCGAATTATGTGAGTCTTCTACATGCTATGTTGTATCCTATCTTGACTATCGGGCAAACGAACGTGAGGAACTGCATTCTAGACCGATAGTTGTTCAATGTTGTTCTCGGTTGTCATTTCATAGCCATTGGGTTATTGGTTAGCCAAAGATCATTGATACTAGATAGACAGTCCAAGAGAACTAATCAACACTTGAGCTCTCCTGTAATTACCGGCCAATCCCACGGGTTCAAAAAATCAATAAATCTGTCTTTCCCATCATATTAATTTCATTATCATTATTGTTACTACTGTATACTAGAAACTAATAATAACAATAACGTATGAATTCAATAAGTTTAATTAATTTTTTTTCAGAGAGTACAATTCTCGATGCACAAAACTAGTCAGTTGTAGTGGTAATAATACAAATCCTGTATGGAATCAAGTTTTTCGATTTACCAATTTCACAGATAATGATTTGAACAAATTACATTTAGAAATTACAATATGGAATTGTAATGAATATTCCGATGAACAATATAAAATTGGCGAGGTACAAAAATGTATTATGTCTAAATGATCTTTTTGTTTTATTTTCATCATTTCTTTTAGCACTTTATATAGTAGTATGTTTATGTTTCAGTAGTTAATTTCAATAGTTGAGATCATGAGCCGCTTGAAGCTAGACCACCATGGAAAACTTGGAAGCACTGAACGGCCGTTTCGTCCTATTGTGGGACTTCTCAGCAGTATGCATCCACTATTGAAATTACTATAATATCCACAAAAACCCCTTCTGATAGAAATTTATTTATATTACCTAGGAATGTTTACCTTTATTGAAGAGTGTCATGAGTTCCAGATGGTACGCCAGATATATATACATGACATGCCTTTATTTATTGATGAGAATGCTCATTCACAAATATAAATTGGATTGAAAAAGCATATTGTTATTATTATTGTCAGCTTTATTCAATATTATATTTTCGGTACAATATAGAATTCTCAGCGCAAAGTACTTCAACAAGTTTCCGTTTCTTTCTTCTTGGTCGGTCCTGGCGATAAATATTGAGTGATTGCTAGTTAGATGTTAGCAGTCCAGTAAATGAACATCTGAATGATGTACATTCTTTTCGTTGTACATTGCCAGCAACCGCATTGTCTCTTATTGAGCTTTTTGTAACTTTGACAACGTAAGGTTGTACACTTTTCAGAAATGCACCAGGATAACTTATGCGATTAATAGACATAATGATATATTAAAACAAACAAAACTAGATAACTTGATGAAATGTCTAGATGGCAGGTACAGGTAGCCCAGATGCTCAAGCAGGTCGCTAGGTGTAAAATCATCAAAATTATGAATTTTATACTGCTTATATGCTAGAGAGATTGTGAAAGTTTGAGGCGTTCATCAGCTTTCAGTATCATCTGTAAATCCTGAGACGTCGACTTTTTCCCAAAGAAAATGAAGAAGTCTGCATTTAAATTGTATAAAAACGCCTTGAAATGTTTTGAATCTCGTGAAAATTTATTCTTAATGAGTTGAAATTGAATGACTAAATCTCTAAATAGACTTCAGTTACATTATTTTATGTCTAATTTAGGGAAATAAGCGTTGTTAAGTTTCTTGTTTCACTTAGGTAAGGCAGCTTGAACAGACTGAAACGAACAAAACCAAGTAACAGAGTTGTAGTACACATTAATCCCAGCTAGTTTTTTCTAAGTAGATACTAGATACTAGTTTCTAGAGAATTATTCCAGAAATTCAACCAATATCTCCAACAGGAATTCCAATTGTAATTCTCCCTTTAGATTTTCATTAACCAGACAGTGTGCAGTGTGATGATTAAACGATGTGGCTCAACAGTGGTACGAATTAAAAATGTATGCAGTACAAAGGCTTTAGCAAACTACCAATTCAAATCCAAACTACGTATACAAAAGCAAGATGTACGATCCCATTTAACCCTATTCCTAATTCTCCTTCCTGCATTCCATAACAGTGGAACTAAACTATACTGAAGGTCTCGAAACAAATGAAATTATCCAGTCAGACTGAAGATAGGGATTGTTTAATTTTATGTAATTTTTAAGAAGGAATACTGGATAGCCTGTTTTTGATGAGATGTCTTATTTCGGCAAATATTGTTGATGATGGGGTTAGAATTGTGTTAAAAGTGTTAGGGACAAAAGTATTAAGATTAAGAATGTTCTCGTTAGGAACGTGTAATTAGCTAGCTTTCAAGAACTGAATTCCTTATAATTTTACCGATTTCTCCTAATGTACAATTCATTTTCAGAATCTGCAGTTTAATTAACTGATATTTGTAAAACTAACATTTGATTGACCAGTTTCAAGGTCACTTTTTAAATTTTTCAGGGGGGTCAACATAGTTTAATACTACCCGTCTATATTCAGTGATCAGCTATCACCAATCCTGGTTTTTTTCTTACAATGACTAATTAGCTGTTATAATGTAAAAACAGCATTGGATGCCTGCTCAGTGGTCTAATGGTTAAGCACTCGCGCACGAGACTGATAGGTCCTGGGTTCGGATCTCGCGAGATGGGATCGTGGATGCGCACTGATGAGAAGTCCCACAGAAAAATGGAACGGCCGTACAGTGCTTTCAAGATTTCCATGCTGATCTAGCTTCAATTCATTCATGATCTCAACTAATAAAATTACTATAATATCCACGAAACCCCTTCTGGTAATATGATTCATTTATTTATTATTCATCAAATAAATAGCTATCTCTAAGCTATCTTTTCCTTGACAACTTTCATTTAAACACTGAATAATTTACATAACCTTCTCTCTCTCTATTTCTTGATTTCACTAAAATTCAACAATCTCTCACTTACTTGCTTACGCCTGTTACCCCCAATGGAGCATAGGCCGCCGACCAGCATTCTCCAACCCACTCTGTCCTGGGCCTTCTTTTCTAGTTCCATCCAATTCTTGTTCATTTTTCTCATGTCTATCTCAATTTCCCAGCGTAATGTGTTCTTTGGCCTTGAGGATTCCATCTGGGGGCTTGTCTTGTGATGCAGTTGAGTGCTTTCCTCAATGTGTGTTCTATCCACTTCCAGCAATTCTTCCTGATTTCTTCCTCTGCTGGAATCTGGTTTGTTCTCTCCTACAGTAGGTTGTTGCTGATAGGGTCTGACCAATGAATCCAAAGTATGTTGCATAGACATCTATTAATAAACACTTGTATCTTCTGGATAATGGTTGTCGTAGTTCTCCTGGTTTCTGCCCCATACAGTAGAACAGTCTTGACATTTATATTGAAAATTCCGACCTTGGTGTTGGTTGACAGAGAGTTGTTTTGAGTTCCAGATGTTCTTCAGTTGTAAATATGCTGCTCTTGCTTTGCCGATCCGCGCCTTCACATCTGCATCAGATCCACTGTGTTCATCAATGATGTTGCCCAGATATGTAAAGGTTTTTACATCTTCCAAATCTTCTCCATCAATGGTGATTGGATTGGTGCATGCTGTGTTTTATCGGAGAATCCTGCTTTTCCCTTTGTGTATATTGAAACCTATTGCTGCTGAGGCTGCTGCCACACTGGTCGTCTTCTCCTGCATTTGTTGTTGCGTTTGGGATAGAAGGGCCAGATCATCTGCGAAGTCCAGATCGTCCAACTGCATCCTAGATGTCCATTGTATCCCGCGCCTCCCTTCAGACGTTGACGTCTTCATGATCCAGTCGATCACCAGGAGAAAGAGAAAGGGTGAGAGTAAGCAACCTTGCCTAACACCGGTCTTTATATCGAACGAGTTTGTCAACTGTCCTCCATGCACAATTTTGCAGTTTAATCCATCATAGGAATTCCGTATGATATTGACTATCTTCTGAGGCACGCCGTAGTGTCGAAGAAGTTTCCATAGTGTTGTTTTGTCCACGCTATCAAATGCCTTTTCGTAGTCAATGAAGTTGATGTAGAGTGATGAATTCCATTCAATTGATTGTTCCACAATGATCCGTAGAGTTGCGATTTGGTCTGTAAATGATCGATCCTTAGGGAATTCTGCCTGTTGGTCTCGAAGTTGGGCGTCTGTTGTAGCCCAATGATCTGACTCCAATTTAGAATGTACGAATGATTGTTATCACCTATTCTCGTATATAATCGTCGACTTAATCGCGTTAGCCAATAACGGAATTAAATAAGTCGAATAACGAGAATTGATTTGAAAATACATATATTTCGTACATGAAGCGAATGAAACATAGCAAAGCAAAATGACACGTATGGAAGATGGCTGGGAAGCCAACTCCATTTTTGTCGAGCGTTACTCAATATTTATAGTCAGACAAAAATAAACTACAAACATGTGATGGTCATGGGATATGAAGTGTACACACATATACGCTCTATATAAAAACAGTCAAGACTGATAAGTGAATAATTGACAAGGTCAAAATATGACTCAAGTAGAATGAATAAAATGGAATGTCCGAAAACTAGAATATAAGATATATGGGCTTAAAATAATGACTGACACTACATAGCCCCCTCGTAGAAAATAGCACATTTTAAAAATGTCTGTTTTCGAAAATAACAGTGAAGTGATGCGTAGTTAATGTTAACAGTAAATAGCGAAAAAAATTGTACAACACTCGATAAAGTACAGTGTCACATGAGGGGTGAGTGTATTATATGAAAATGTCACACTTATGTAAAAGAATACATGAATATCGAAAAGGCGCGGACAAAAATGGAAACGTTAGCATGCGAATATGAGCAAATTAATGAGCGTACCAAAAATTAACATCTAGTGATTCTATGACTGTCTGAACGATAAAATAACACGTTTGTATGAGTGATTCAAATTATCGTGAAAATAGTAATAAATTGTTTGTGGGTATGACAGGGAAATAAATCGTCAAGATAAGTAGAGTAGAATACGACAGAAATTGGTCTGTGATGCTGACGAAATAGTGAAATACGTTAAATATACGTTCTGTTGAGCCGCAGCAGAATAAATAGCATCGACTAGCGATGAGTGAATTCGAATTTAAATGCGTAACTCTCGTTCGTAGGATGATAATAGGCAAGTCGTGAAATGATAACTGCATCGACGGGTGATATTCGTTGCTGTACTGCAATTGATAATAATCATAAAATTTGAAGTCAGTGAACGTTGTCGTCTGCGTTATGACAGATGCATTGAGTTATCGTTAAATATGTATTAGTAGAAGAATGACCAGAGGAACCGAATAGTGACTGAGTAGACGAGGTACGTAGAGTCGTATTCCTTTTTGGTCGTGAAGCCTAGAGTGGTTTGTGTGGTTTGAGGGAGATGCGCTCGATCTCGTTTGTTACAAAACCGTACCAAGGCATGACAAAAATACCAATACATATGATTAACGATGGCGACTTATGAGACTGACTTGGATGTGACGAACAAGAGTGTATCTTTGAGAGGCTAGCTCTAAACTCTATGTTCTGATATACCGAGCGATGGGTATAGAATAGTAGTTGCAGTACTCGAATAGCGTTTTCGCGTGATAAGTGATGCAGCATGTAGTTATGCACGTGGAAGAATAGATAAAATGAGTGTAATGGTTACTAATCAGCTAGTCAGAAGCATCCACAGACATAATAGGAGGCGATTTCGAAATGAAAAATGTATGTTGTGATAACATAAATTGCTGACCTCGACTAAGTGAATGAATGTAATATTAGATCAAAATGACATGAAAAATTGGAACGAACTCACTTAAAGCAGGAAAATTTCACGTTTTTGAATAGTAAAAATATCCCAATGAGTTCTCACAAAGTGGAGTGGAATTTTCATAAAATGATAATTTGTTCGGTGAGTGATATGATTGCGAAAATGTCATAATTTAATGACAGCACGAACAAGATTAATAATTCCACATTCGGTCATGATATTGATAATAATATAATAATGAGCATATAATGATAATTTGAATCGTAATCGAACAAACCGACGAATGGATCAATGAGAATAGTTGACATGAGGACAAAGTAACAATAAGATAATAAGATTTGTGCATGTCCATGTCGTGCTGCACAGGCTTTGCTGAGTCCGTCGGATTAGAAGAATTGCGCTGGCTTCGCTGAATTTGTTCGTTGAACGTATAGAGTTCAGAAGTTCCTTCATCGACGTAGCTTGCTGCGTTGCGTTCGTCGTCGGCGGGCTTACCAATGTTGTAGCCCAATGATCTGACTCCAATTTAGAATGTACGAATGATTGTTATCACCTATTCTCGTATATAATCGTCGACTTAATCGCGTTAGCCAATAACGGAATTAAATAAGTCGAATAACGAGAATTGATTTGAAAATACATATATTTCGTACATGAAGCGAATGAAACATAGCAAAGCAAAATGACACGTATGGAAGATGGCTGGGAAGCCAACTCCATTTTTGTCGAGCGTTACTCAATATTTATAGTCAGACAAAAATAAACTACAAACATGTGATGGGTCATGGGATATGAAGTGTACACACATATACGCTCATATATAAAAACAGTCAAGACTGATAAGTGAATAATTGACAAGGTCAAAATATGACTCAAGTAGAATGAATAAAATGGAATGTCCGAAAACTAGAATATAAGATATATGGGCTTAAAATAATGACTGACACTACACGTCTACGGAGTCCTTCATCCTGTTTAACAATACCCTATTGAAAACTTTCCCTAGTATTGAGAAAAGAGTGATGCCTCTGTAGTTATCACAGTTGCTGAGATCGCCTTTCTTTAATATTTTGACCAGAAGTCCCTCTTTCCAGTCTCTTGGTACATGTTCCTCATCCCAAATCTTATTGAAGAGAATATGGAGTATCTTTGCAGTTACTACTGCGTCTGCTTTCAGTGCCTCTGCTGGAATGTTGTCTGGTTCTGCTGCTTTGTCACTCTTGATTTCACTAAAATTCAACAATCTCCACAACCCTTTAATGACAATCTGAAATATATTTTTCTTATAACATCTTGATAACATACCTTAGAATATCTTGATAAACAATTACACATCTAATATACCTTTTTATTCTCTATAATTTTGTTATTCAGACTGTAATTGATCTCAGTGTAGCCGATTTATTAGATGTTGGATATTGGTATCCAATAAGATCATTTCATCGTTTCTTTTCTGCAACAGAATTGTCAAATATGGTAAGTTTTGATAATGTTGTTATCATATATTAATGTTAAATAAATATAAAACTTGAATGTAAATTGTTGAATAGACAGAACGGCTAGACTATAATTTATGGACGATCTTTGAGCGACGCTAAAGTGATCTTGAAAGTGTCTACCTACTTACTAGGGCTAAATGAGGCTTATAAAGCAGTTTGAAGAATAAGGATTATGATTTACAGTTGATGGTTAGGGTTAGGAATAAGATTTAAGGTTTTCATCATGAACTGACATCAGCTATAATGCTAACACTCTATTTAACCAAATGGGTAAATGAATCTAAAACCTGTTATCCTCAATCTGATTGGTTTGTCCATAAATTATAATCTCGCTGACAGACCTCAAGCTAAAGAATAATACTTCATACAGTGTGTTTTTATTAATAAATTTGAATAGAACAAGCAATACAAACATGACTGAATAACATGAATTCATTTTATTCCATGGTTTCTGATCAGCTTCTTACAACTTAAACGTAATAGTGTTGTTCATTAGTTGAAACCGGTGTATTTACTTTATATCACAGTATCAGAAATACTTCTATCAATAAAGATTATTAAAACAGTAATAGTTCGATTAGTTGATTGTCTTCTTGTTGAACAATATGGAAATTTTGGAATCTTGATTTAATACTCTTTTATTATTAATCTATTCCAGAATCCTGATGTCAACTCTGCTCCATACGATCTCCAGCCATGTACTACTACACGTAAGTTTTTGTTTTCAAATCCGATTAAAGCTTGTGATTTTCCAGTCAACTTCTAAATATACATATATATGTTTGAACTTGAGTTGATGAAAAAGATTTGTAGTTGAGGAGAAGTATTCGTGTGACGTTTTGTCTTCTGAACTGAATTTCTTTAATTGTAATTTCATTCAATATCAACCTAAAAAACATCATCATCACCTGCTCTCGAAAGCCTGTTACTGTTTTATTTAATCAATTAGGTCAGTTTTGTGTTTACTTGGAGAGAGTTGTGATCAATCAATAACCATCCCATGCCCATTCTGTATGTAAGCCTTATAAAAATTATGTGTGACAATACTGCTATAACATCGATCGGTTTCGGTGAGTGTGGTTACGGACTAATGGTCTGAATCATTAGTCCAACTTATCCCCATTGTACAATGTCTTGTAGCATTATTTAACCACTTATTCAGCAAAGGTAGGGTTAGAAAGGTCAGGGTAACGTGTGACTTTTGGCTGTGGACTAGAAGATTTCTCCTTGGGCTATATGCAGGTGCATATACAACTCGGGATTCAGTTTATAGGGGACCGTGACCTATCGTTTTTACTATAGCTTACTAATAAATTGCAATGTCTCAGTAAGAGTTATATGGTACTCCGAGCACGGTTTTCACTAATAATGGGTAAGCTCGCCATCTGCCTTGACGAAGTCAGGTTGTGGCTTGGTAGGTTGATTCATGGCAATATTTTGTGGCCTCTTCGTTTATGGTTGACATTATTCCTCCACTTCGGTAACTCATAATACAGGTTTGTTTAAAGATATGTAACATTGGGTAAGTGGAACCTTCATCGCTTGACTATTTGCGTGAGTCCACGCTGCACATATTCTTAGTCCACGGAGGTGTATCGTTGTTATTTGGTAGTTATTTTATCTGGTAGTTCTTTATTTTTTTACCCTGAGGTGCAAAAAATGGAATTATAGTTGTTACATAAATTTTGAAATGATGATAAGTTATTTATTATCTTAGCATTGTATAGTGATACTTATGTAAACTTTCATACAACCCATAACTATACAACATAATAAATTACTATTTCTACTTCTCTCTCTCTCTCTCTCTCTCTCTCTCTCTATATATATATATATATATATATATATATATATATATATATAATTTCTATAGAAGTTCCAGAAAGACCAATTAAATCAAGATATCGTGAATCAGAACAACAATGGTCACCGAAATCTGAGTATCGTCATTCCGATATACCTGATGATAATACTAGAAAATTGAAATCCATACGAGATGACTATTCTGATATTGATGAACAGAGATTTTCTGCATCTATTAGACAGAATAGGAAATTTACTGATCATGAATATTATCGAGATGGAACTGAAGGGCATCATCGTGGTTCAAGGCTACATCCTAGGTATGTTACTTCATATATTGTTTAATGGAATCTCCTAAAATCTGTCTTTTCTTCGTTACGTCCACTCTTTCTTGAAAAAGTATCTATATTAATAGCACTAATATCATCGCTAAAAATGTAGTTTACAAAGAGAGATGTTGTTTGGTATAGACTAATTGGTTAGAGTTCCGTCGATTAACAAGGTCAATGGTTGGAGACGTTGAGTGATATGGCCAAGATGGATTCAGTGTTTGTCTTCACTTGGATTCTTAATTCGAAAACTATTTCATATCCCTTATTCCATGCATTTTTTTCTTTTTTCTCAAATCATATTGTCTGTTTTGGTTAAGACCATGGATCGATCAATGTTAGATGATCATTGAAAACTTGGTAGAACTGGACAGCCGTTTCGTTTTAGGGAGGGACTCCTCATCAGTACATATTTACGGTCCCGCACGCGGGATGCCCTTAAATATCCAGGGCCACACGTGAGCTACAGTGACGGTGCCAGAGAGTCTGCAAACCTGGCCCGAAAGGGTTGGGCAAGCTGTTTCACATTTTCTGTATCTAATGTTCTTTTACTGCCATTGATGCTATTGCTACTTCTACTACTCTGGTGTTTGTTTACATAATTTTATCCCTATGTGTTGATATAATGTTTCAACTTGAATCAACGCAAGCATGGGTCAAGTGATAGAGTTCTTATGATTAACTAACTGTAAAGGTAGTATATAGTGGATAAAACAATTATTTCTACATTGATTTACCGGAAACGTTTATTAATAATGTGAATGCTTTCTTCTAATCTTTCAGTGCTCAAAATTTTGAATACGGTGGCCTAGAGGAGAATGCTATCCAATCAGATGCTTCAGAATTTTCTGATCTTTCTGAAATATCTAGAATGAGTTTACATACAAGTCAATCAGATCGTCAACGTATGGAATCAATACAAACATCACGTAATGGAAGTCAACAATTTGAAACTCCTACACAATCCTATAATGAAAGACATTCTAGAAATCTACAAAAACCAGATAGATTAGATCAAAATTTTCTACCGTCTGTTGAACAATCAACAAGAGCTAGAAGAGATTCAAATAGGATAGAAAAAGATATCATTGTCCCTACTGAAGATGAAGAACAACATGAATTAATTACAAAAGATAATAGAAATTTTAAAAGTGGTTCTAGTCCAAGGGTTACATCAACTGATGATTATGGAGGTGGTCAAGTTTCACGATCTTTAATAGAGAATAAAGTATCTAATTTTGAAATAGCTCAAAATGTTCATAGAGATCAAGTGGATGGAAGGAAAAGACGACCAAATATAGGCCAAAAGTTTTCTAATGTCCTTGGCCGATCCAATAAGAGTAGCAGTACATCAACTCTAGGTAATTAAGATTTTAAATTATAGATAAATTGGTCACTGAAAAGTTGATATCTTCATTGTTATAAAATATATCACTTGTCCATAATATGATTTAAAAGGGTGATAAATAGTTGTAGTATTCTGTAAGTTCAAGAAAATAGTTATGTCTACAAACTGGTGGTTAGTTTTCCAAGAGGGTTGTAAACGAAAAACACTTAGTTATTGATCCTAACGACAAATTACTGTAATACTTTCCTGACATAATGAACAGAGGTGACTGTTGTGTACTTGTCAAACTTAATTGAATGATATCACTGTCTAATCATGTATGAGATTTGTATATCTCATTATATTTTATTGAGTTAAGTGGAACAGACATGGTCAACTGACATTAAAAAACATGACTTCTACGCGAGCTGATTTTTTTGGACAAATTTCATTGTTGCCATAAGGAAATAAAGAAATACCTTGGAAAACAAGTCAGCATTTATAAACATTATGTAGTGAAAACATATTTCATGTAAAGCTTGTTGTAAAGATTGATGGCTTTAGGAAATAATGGCATCATGTGGCTTGGATTGGTTTACACCTTGAACTGTAAGAAGTAAATATTTAATATGATCTCTCATCTACGCCGTTGAGTCACCGAATATGATGAAAGTTTTGATAATCTTATTCGCTGAGTGGCTAAAGTTTTTCGAATGATGAAGAAAAATCGATTTAGACCAGGTAAAATTAGATAAACAAAAGTAAGCTCAAATGGTGGTATCTCAAATTCAATTCCATTAATAGTATTGCAGTGTATGTTTGTTGTGCTAATTGTCAATCATATCCTATCGATAAAATACGCTTCTGACGGATTCATACAGAAACTTAATTAAGAGTGGGTAAAATTTATGATAGTGTATAAACTAATATAGTTACGTTGTTACAGTTTCTTTCATTAATTTATTGATGTGTCGTGTGATACTGAAATATGATTGGTCAATATGCAACGACAGACTTCTCCATGTAAACGACCATATCGGTCATTCTTATGTATAAAAGACGGATTTCTACTCGGGACTCACTATGCGTATGGAGTGTTAGTGTTTGGGTTGGGTAAACAACTGTCGGATATCGTCTAGAAAGGCAATGAAAGATTCACGATTAAACTGTTCAATCTAGAGAACCCAAAATCTATAAAATCTTTATGAACTAAAACGTTTCTCCATCATCAGTTCAGGTCATTGTATAACTGTTTTAAAGAGTAATCTTTTGAATGAAACTAGTATCACCAACTGGTACCAGTTGATCATCGCATTATATTGCGAATTGTGTAAGATTGAAAAATTTAACCCCTTGATACCAAATCAATGAACTTAAGGTAAGAGATTTATCCTGAGATCTGAAATTTCGATATTAGATCACTGAAATGTTCATTAGTAGAATTTATTAAAGAGTCACAAATGTGAGCATAAAACTAGTTTACTGCTTCCCATTCATTATTAGTTATATAACTAAATTCAATGTTCACGATGTATATTATCTCTGAATAAGAGAATTTCCATAAACCCTCTGTGTTTCTATATATATATATATATATATATATATATATATATATATATATATATATATATTTCCTGTGTTTTAGATAAAAAATCAAGAACGAGTTTCCAACGTAGTGAAGAAGTATTACCATTTGGAGGATATGGTGCTATATTTGAAGGTCAAGAACAAGAAGGATCATTTAGTCATGGAAGATTATCAATGATGCATTGTCAATCAAGTATAAGTAGTGGAAAAAGTGACGGTCGAAATTCTAGATATGGTACAAATTCAGATACTACTGATCAAGAAAGGTAAATATTTTCATGAATTCATCTTTTTTTTTCACAAATCATATTCAATCTTTTTTACTATCATTGATACTATCACTAATACTACTATCTGATTTGTGGTTAGTAAAAGTGATTATTCACTACGTGTAAACTGGCATACACACTACTGAGTCTTTGATTTGTGATTTCCTTTTGTGTTATTGATTTTTACTCTGAACTGACTGAGTATAGAGTACTTATAAATGTGCTGTACAAATTATCGGATAGCCTATCCTCTAATTTTCTATGTCTCACTGTGAATTTTGTATCAGATATAACGGAATCAGATCTATGTATAGCGTATCAATAAAGTATTCAGTCAAGTACTAGCAAAATCTCGGTTTTTCGTTATATCAACGTATTATATTAGCATAGTATAGTAAACAGAGATAATTGTTATAATCTCATTATATCGCTACCCACGATTCTACTACCGGTGTATCCCGACGGGATCTGTTTAGAGACTAATATCATACATGTATTTTTATTGTATAATTGTTAGGTAACTAAACTATGCATATTCATGTTCCTCTTATTATAAGCTTCATTTTGACTCAGGCTATTTTTATACGATTTCATGTTCTTGAGTTATGCCCAGTCTATTAATTACAGTCTCCCACATTCACAGCCACTTTTGGCTAGATCTTGTACAAATGTTGTTTTCTATTTTGTTGTGCGATGTGGTGTGTTTGTTTTATATATAAACCCAGTATGTTTGAAATACATTATTTATATTGCGGAGGCTGAGATTGGTGTTCTGGACTCAACAGACAGAGATAGTCGGGAAGAAGGACTGATAAATACTCTAGATTGCTCTCACGGGTCTATGCGTCATTGGTACGGTCGGTTATATATTAATAAGGCACAGGGCGACATGTTATAACAACTGCTTTGTTATTAATCTTGGTATTTCCATCTGGTTGTATTGATATAGTCTGAGAATTTGGCCCAAAACACATTTGTCCCAGGTTCTGTGTTGATTATAAGTAACTTGACTGACTATACTGGAGGTAATCTGATTTTCAAATATAAAACAATTAGTCCCTTTGATAAATTTCGATAATGATATTAGAAGACGAAGATTATCAGAACTATGTGACATATTAGCGCAATACATTTCGAACAATCTGGTCACACATATACTTGTTAAGAGCATTTATATATAAAAATAAAAGGTCAACTAGACAGGAAACGGGTAAGAGGAGATAAGGATAATGATAAGAGTAATAATAATAATAATAATAATAATAATAATAATAATAATAATAATAATGTGAACACAAAGCGAAACCTAATCACTCTGGATAATAAGTCAATATTACCAGGGTAGGTTTAAGGTAAGAACAAACTGTTTTTGAACACATAAAGGGGGTTTGAATTTTCGTATGGCTAAGGCTATATACTAAGGTTCATTGACCTTTTATTTTTATATATAAATGCTCTTAACAAGTATATGTGTGACCAGATTGTTCGAAATGTATTGCGCTAATATGTCACATAGTTCTGATAATCTTCGTCTTCTAATATCATTATCGAAATCTGATTTTCACTTTGAAGAAATGTAAAACAGTTAATCCCTTCTATTTTGTAAATTTAGATAGTGTATACAAAATGAATCTAATTGTGATGTGTGGGCGAGAATGATAATCATGGGTTGTCTGCTCACTCAGACATGTAGATAGTCTGACAGGTGTCAGATGAGTTATATATTCCTCTATCCTTATTATTATTACTCACTTATTATTGATTGTTCATTGTTGATGGATTGTGTCGAGTTTTGGTGTGGAAATATATTCACGTTGTGGTCAGATTAATCACGTGTTCTTGATCTGAGTTGTGTTGAAGTCCTGAAGAATAGACACTGGGAGGGAATCTAGTGTAGATATTCGTCTAAGGTAAATTAACGTCTCATACGTGTAAACGTGGGAACCCAACCGTTATAACATTAGACGAAGTATAACCGAGCGTTGTAACAATTTTTTTTCCAATTTTACTATTATCTAGAATTATAATCCTTAGTTTTAATTTATGTTAGAACATGGCGGAGAAGATTTGTAGTTCAGGTGGATGATTTTGATGCAGTTTTGTTCTCTGAGCTGGATGGTTTGGTCAATAAGAACCAATCAACATCGAGGTGTATAGAACAAGCTGTGAAACACATATGGAGAAATTCGAACACTTCACTTCTATCTGAAGTTTGTGCTGATAATGTCGTTCAGAAGAACGATGAAAGCTCCACGACCAAAACATCCAGCTCAGAGAACAGAACTCCATCAAAATATATTAGATCATATTCTCCACCACTGTCAACTGCATTCATTTATTCCTAGTTTTCGTATAAAAAATATCTTGACAATTAAATTAACCATCAGATTGTTATTTGTAATGTTGATCTCCTAAGTGTATCGAAGTTACGTTAATTTTGTCATATCAATAACACTAATTATATTTAGTTGACATCAAATTTGTTTGAGAAATGTGGTTTGTTGACGATATTTATCAAATCTTAAATGGTGATCAATGATGAAAGTTATTATATCACAACGAACATTGAAATGGTAATTCCCGGAACTAAATCATTGACTTTTTTATCCTCTGAAGAAGTCACTTACACTGAGTTACGAAACGTCAGAAAACTTAAAAACTTAATTTTTCCAGAAATCTATTATTTTTTATTCATATACTAATATCATATGGTTTACTATTCTTAATTTGCTTCCAGTCTACTACTTACGTTCTACCTTATTCCCAGAGACTTTGGGATTGTTCATTTATGATTGTTATTTTTCATTTTATTCTATGATGCACTCATGTATGTCTGTGTATAGGCCAATTCTATCTGAAATATAAATATGGTGGAGTCTAGTTGCTACTTTTAAACTCAAGACAGAACATAGATAGAAGCTTGCTAATAACGGAGCAACAAGGAAATAGTTGTCAGCTCAAGGTCAATAGTGCTGAACGGGCGTGTTATTGCTTAATTTGGGGACACTAGGCGGTCGAGGAAATAGTGGATCTAAAATAGATCAAATCTGAATCAGATTTCTGATTATTGACTAGGCATGTGATATTGGTTAATTTTGTCAAAACATTACGAAGTACACTATGCCGATGGCCCTGGATAAATCAATCAAAATTAGGGCCGTGCTATGTATATTTCTGCGCGAAATTAAAATCACAGTTCTGCATGCTTATATGTTGTGGATAACTAAATAGAAATATTAATAGTTGGTCACTAAAATTCTTGAAATTGATAAAAAAAAACATATATACAATCCAACTAAAAAGTAAATATGAAATAATGCTTGAGTTAGATCATAAAAAATACTTGGTTCTGATGCAAGATTGTGTGTTAAAGTACTTGGTGTGTTTCAGTGCATAGTCAAGGGTGTTTGTGTAATTAGTAAGCATTTTCTTGTTCTGTCTCTTGACTATCACTATCAACCCCAAGTCTTTTTAAGTCTGTAATCAAAAGAGTGGCAAAGCATTATTGCATTATAGCTGATTTCAGTTCATGATAAGTACCCTAAACTCGATTTGTAATTCAAATACACAGCCCTATTTTGATTTCTATAATTTAATTTCATTGAAATCATGAACCGATCAGTGTAAAACCACCATTGAAAACTCTAAAGAAATGGACGGCTATTTCTTACTAGTATGGTACTCTCTATCAGTGTGCATCCACAACCCCGCACATGGGATCCAAACCCAGGACATTCAGTTGCGCATGAACGTTAAAACCCTATACCACTAAACCGGCATCCAACGGTGTTAATGTCTACCTTCAATCAATCCACGATATTGGTCGACCACGTTCTATAGTCTTCGGTGAGTAACTGCCTCCCACCCGATACGGTTGAATTCCATTGATCACAGCTTCTCACTAGAACCTTAGGAATTCCTTCTCGATGCTAGTCTTTAGTGAACATATGATAATTTTCGGTCTGAGGTTGTGAAGATTGTTGAATTTCATTAAAATCATGAACTTATTATTTAACCCTAATTTTTCGTACTTTATTTAATTCCATTTGGTGAAGATGTTGGGATATTCAGGAAAATATCCCAAAAAAATTATCCTGTTAAGGCTAATGCTATCCTTGGACATGAAATGGTATCATCTTATTGGTCAATATTTATTTAACGTGTCATTTTCCTACTGGCCATTATTGTACAATGTTATTTCCTATTTTATCGTACGATGTGGTCTGCTTGACTGGTATATAAACAAAGTATGTTTGAAATATAATGATTCATATATCCGAGGCTGAAACTTGTGTTCTGGACTCAACTGGCTGGGTTAGATAGGGAAGAGGGACCAATCAGAACCCTAGGTCGTTCTACGTGTTTGTGCGTCTTTGGTCCGATCAGTATTTCCGTACCCCTTAATCAGCATCATTTTCACGTTATAACAGAAGAACACCCTCTAGAATTATATTCCTAACTCACAACGTTAGCCTAAGTCAAAATATGTAAAATTAATCTTTTTTTCATTACTATAATGGACTTTTATTTATTCATTCATTTGAACACATACATATTGGTACATAGGTTCACTGAAACCATATGTGTCACACAACTAACATGATTTGTGTGTGCGCTGTGATACTGCCCATGTGACCAAACCAGAGCAGGTGGTTTTCTTAGACGGTCATACCCAGAGCCTTCGACCTAAATGTCTGACCCACCAGGCAGTGGAGCAACGTAAGGAGATGCAGTCCCATGGTCATGGTAGCTGGCGACCAATGATTGGTTCATACGCCATTTGTTCCTTCAGGATCCTAGAGTCCATGTGCGCCATTAGTTTGGAGTCAGGGTTTTTCAACTTCCCTAGGTGGATCCTCCATATCTACCAACCCAGTTAAAGCGCCAGACATTCGCTTTTCGTCCTCTCAATTTCGTAAACAATAGTAATGCAGTGAATAGGACTTCCCTGACAGTGGTTGTATGCACGTGGCCATGTGATAGCATTTCGAGAGGGAGAACTGACTCTCCCCACCCTCGGTAGTACCAGGGCATTTAAATAATTTAACATGTATGAATTATTTATTTATATCCAAAACATTATTCCATAGTAGTTTTATTACTTTTTATTGTTAATTGTTTTATCACTACTCACTATTTCTCGATTGGTTAATAAATTGTTCAAGGTCATCAGTACAATATACGGTAAGATCATAATTTATGGACGACCTTTGAGCGACTCTGAACTGACCTTGAAAGTGTCTACCTACTTACCAGGACTAAATGAGAGTTATGAAGCAGTTTGAAGAATAAGGATTACGATTTACAGTTTACGGTTAGGGTTACGAATTAGATTTAAAGTTTACAACACGAACTGATATCAACTAGAATACTGAAACTGTATTTAACCAAATGAATGAGTGAATTTTGAGCCAAATTCCATGACCTGTTATCTTATACCTGATTAGTTTGTCCATAAATTCTAGTCTCGCCAAATTTTATTTTCTATAATTCTTTATGGTTTCTTACAATAAAACTGCCTTAACTGAAGATTTCAATAAGAAAATTGTTGATTTTATAAAAATCCTTAAATTTACTTGCTAATAATATCAGTTTAGGGGTTGTGAAGATTTTTAGGTTTTTGATTGAGATCATGAACCGAATGATGTTAGATCACCATTGAAAACCCGGAAGCACTAGACGGCCGTTTCGTCCTATTGTGGGACTCCTCAGCCGTGCGCATCCACGATAATAATATATTGGTTGACAGTTGTTTTGAGTTCCATATGTTCTTCAACCGTAGGAACACTGTCCTTTCTTTGCCAATCCTCACCTTCCCGTCTGCATGGAATTCTCCTTGCTCATTAATGATGCTACGCAGATACATGAAACTTTACACCTGTTCCACAGCTTCTCCATCAAGTGCGATTGAGTTGGTCTTCACCGTGTTGTATTTGTGGACCTTGATTTTCCCTTTGTGTATGTTGAGGCCTACTGATGCAAAGGCTGCTGCTACACGGGTTATTGCTTAAAGAATAACATTAATTTGATTAAAATTTAAAAGCTACACATACTAAGAAGAAACATAAAATGGGTTACATTTGAATCCTGGGTAGTTGTTCTTCTTTTGGTTAACTAATTAGCATGTTTTTATTATGTGTATATCAAACTATTGTCGTATGCTATTTAAGTATGATTGTATTAGTGTGCTATCGTTTTACTTATTAATTATTTCACTTATGTAATCACATTAATTATTAATCTAAATAATTAAGAGTACTTAGGACTACATATTTACTGTTAGCATTGGAAACTTGTAATAATGAAAATCAGTTTGACCTACCGACCAGTACAGTAAATGAATTAGTGGACATATTGTAAGTAGTATAGGAACAAATACAAAACTACCTTAGTTTTAGGTTAAGTAGTTCGAGGGAATCGTTAAAAAGCTTTAATCTTACGTTTCATGTTAGTTAGGCCTTGCCAGCAATAGATCATCAATTCCATTAGATCGCAGATAAACCTTAAGGACGAATGCAGAATAGTACGAAACCTAGATCTGAAGTTTCCAAAAATACGACATCAAAACATAGTACATACAATGTTAAATAACTTACGGTAGTGGCCATATTTAAACTGAATTGATAGAATTCAATCACTACTGATGACTAAGCAACCGTGACACGAGTGACTACTCCCTACTCATTCAATGTAAACCAGCTTAGTTTATTTTGAATATAAAGTGATAAGATTAAAACGCTGGAATATAGGCCGTGTTACATGATATGATTAGTTGATAAATGAATATCTTTCTGGATACATATTCTTTTTTCCCCAGTGTTTATATGGGTCGTAATGAATCTCACGTTGGAGAATTTGTTGAAGGTCTTGGTCCAGGACAATTAGTTGGACGACAAGTACTTGGAATGCCCTGTCTTGGAGAAATACAATTAAGCTTTTATGATCGGAAAGGTCATTTAGAAGTTGAAGTAATTCGTGCTAGAGGTTTACAACAAAAAAATACAGCTAAGCCATTACCAGCTCCATATGTTAAACTGCATTTATTGGAAGGCAAACAATCTGTAGAAAATTACGAACAATGTATCCTCCAAGACGTACATTGGATCCACTTTATCAACAACAATTATGTTTCTCAGTTCCGTATCATGGAAAAATTCTTCAAGTGAGCAACAAATTTCACTTATTATATTTTATTATTTTTGTAAAGATTCTAGTAATTTCAGTAGTTGAGATTATGAATCAATTGAAGCTAGACCACCATGGAAAACCTGGAAGCACTGGGTCCGAATCCCGCGAGGCGGAGTGTTGGGTACACACTTCTGAGGAGTCCCACAATAGGACGAAACGGCCGTTCAGGGCTTCCAGGTTTTCCATGGTGGGACTGTTTGAATATGACTCAAACTACTTGTTATCAATAAGTAATATGTCACAGCTCACAAAAAACATAGTCATAAAAATAATTGTAGTTATGGTCGACAACACATTTGGCTTAACTGAAGATTCACAGATTACATAAATAGATTTGATTAAGCATTTTAGGAATTGCTGATTAACTCCATGATTTTAATTTCATTGCTGTTGCAAAGAGTGTGATTCTGAACTACTCTGAGATCCATATGTTTAAAACTTCTTCAGCTGAATCACTTTGAAAATCGACCTTCATGTAGTGTATTTCACGACATATACCTCAGTAATTTACCTTGAGACGTGAATCACATTTCTTGTCTAGGAGTTTTGGTAGATACAGTTACGTGTTTTTTTGTTACATTTTCTGGCTTTAAACCATCATGTCGTAGTTTTGTATCCTTCTTCGTGTACTCTGGTTTATGAGACCGTCTAGTATCAGTGACCCTCAGAACTGAAAAATTAATCAAAGATGATTACATGATAGCGTACTTTGTAAATAAACTGCATTTATAGTAGTGATGAGTACTTGTTTTCCCTTAATGTTATTTTTTGATAAATTATCTTGTGCAACCTCGAATGAGCAAATTCTGTGTATCCGCATAAAAATATATAAATAAGTTTCTCTATCAAATAGCGGGGACACGACAATCGAAACTTATCAGCCGAACTTTTTGTATAGATTTCTTATAAAGAAAGTTTCAACTTTAAAGTATTTGTATTGTCAACTGTCGGTACAGCCTAAAGAGCTTGGTTATTGAAAATAGCCATCTTCACTTAACTAAACACTCTTATTCGCTAATACCAAAATAGATGTTTCGAATGCAGATATTACATCTCAACACTTTTAGCAATCAATACTAATTGGCGAGTTTTATACATTAGTTCTATTTTCAAGATAATTTAAGGTTCTAACCTGGTGGTTTGAATGCTATGTGTGCACCATGATACCTGAAGACCGTGAATTTGATTCCTGACTAGATCTCAGTTGTTTTAGTGCTTGTCTAGTGTTTCTTATTTCTTATTAGTGTCTTAGCTAATATCAAGTTGTGGAGGAATCTCCGTTCACTTTGAACTATTCCCAATCATTCCCTCAGTCAAATAATAGTTATGTATTGAATAATGACTAACTCAAAGATAGATTACTGATGTTTTGGTGAGAAGTGTTAATCAACGGAATTCAGCAATATCGAAAGTGGAAAAGTTATCATAATTGAAAATAAGACTGACAATAGCAACAGCCTTAGCAGCAGTAGGTCTCAATTTACACAAAGGGAAAAGCGAGACTCTCCGACACAACACAACATGCACCAATCAAATCACGCTTGATGGAGAAGCTTGGAAAGATGTAAAAACCTTTACATATCTGAGCAGCACCATTGATGAACACGATGGATCTGATGCAGGTGTGAAGGTGCAGATCGGTAAAGCAAGAGTAGCATATCTACAACTGAAGAGCATCTGGAACTCAAAACAACTGCTAACCAACACTAAGGTCAGAATTTTCAACACAAATGTCAAGACTGTTCTACTGTATGGGGAGGAAACTTGGAGAACTTCGAAAGCCATTGGCCAGACACTATCAGTAACAATCTACTGTGGGAGAGAACAAACCAGATTCGAGCAGAGGAAGAAATCAGGAAGAATTGCTGGAAGTGGATAGGACACATATTGAGGAAAGCACACAACTGTTTTGCAAGGCAAGTCCTCACTTGGAATCTTCAAGGCCAATGGAGGAGGAGATGAAGACCAGAGAGCACGTTACACCGACAAACGGAGACAAATATTAGATGAATGAACAACAATTGAATAGGACTAGAAAGGAAGGCCCAGGACAGAGTGGGTTGGAGAATGCTGGTTGGCGGCCTATGCTCGATTTGGAGTAACAGGTGTAAGTAAGTAAGTTTAATTTAGAATGATGAAACTGTTCAGTGTTCTCCAATCTTCACTTATTACCTAATCAACATCAGTTTATAATGAAAACTTGTTTTATTTTATCATTATTGTCATGATTACGAGTTTCACATCTCTTTTCTGTTGTTGTTGATTATTTATTAACATTATATAGATCAGTGTATGGGGTGAATATGGACGTATGGATAAGAAAGTATTTTTAGGAATGTGTGAAATTGTTCTTGATGATTTAGATTTAAAAACAGTTGTATTTGGTTGGTATAAATTATTTGGAATGATTGCATCGAATGCACAACATCATCACCATCATCATAATCATAATCAAAAACAACAACAACAAGAAAGACGAAAAAGTTTATCATCTTCTTCTACACCATTAGATAATGCACAGAATATAAATAACAATAATAATAAATTAATTGGATCTAAACTTGACAAATTAACTAATCGTAGCAGTAGTATTAGTAGTAGCAGTAATCATAATAATAAAAATAATGAACGTAATAATCGAACAAAATCTAAATCCTCACAAGAAATCAATAAATCTATACAACAATCAGGATACAATAAAACTAATAATGATCGGATACAATCTAATTTGAATATGATTTCATCGAATTTAATAAAACGATAGTAATTACATCAGATGCTCATTTATACATAGAAATAAATGAATAGAGAATGTTCTTTTATTAACTAACCCCCCCTTCCAGAAATATATATATATATACATTATATCATTCTTAAAACATATTTTTTCTATAGTAACTAACATATTACAAATTATATACTTTTCATCAAAAAGAAAAAACAAAACAAAAACAAAATGAACTATCTCACATTATTTTTTTATCTGAATTATATAATCCTTGCCTCGTAAAGTACAAATGGATTGGTCTGAGAGGTCACCAATTTACCTATGGTAATAGAGTATATATATATATATGTGTTTGTGAATTAGAGATAAAGCAGTAATATTGATTACAATTATTAAATAATAATATCTATTACATCTTTCTCTGTTTAACAAGTAGATTAGAGGTACTATTTTCTTCAATTACAATATCTATCTATCTTTCTTCCTTTCATTAATAGTTATCTATAATCATCTAAACTCTTGCAAATATTTAATAACTTAAATTATTATTCTATGTAAATTTTAAAGTGAATTATTTCATAGATATTAAAAAGAACTATTCCAGGAACACATATCTTTGAACAATTTTTCATTACTAAAAAAAGAGAGAAAATATTCCATAACGATTTGTTACGTAATAAGTATTAATAGCCGAATTCTTTACATAATATTTATTGAATCAATTTATAATACTCTTATCGATCTATCTGATTAGTTATTACCCCCCTTTTTCTTTATAAAAAGAAAATATATATAAATGTATCTTTCCTTTTATTTTCATTTTTCATCTATAACTATACTTATTTATACAGATATAATAATTTATAAATTCTGGGGCCATTAAATTAATCATCTTCTTCCCCACCTCTCTCTCTCTCTGATTTCCTTAAGATTCCATTAGAATTATTTGTAATTAATAATACACCTTATGTACTATTATTATTATTGTTTCTAAGATATATTTGTTAACAGATCGTTTTAAAGTAAACAGAAATCATTCCATATAAATGAATATCTTTTATTAGTTCAACAGTGCCAATATATCCTCAAGCATAATTCCCCCCGTACCCCCCCCTCTCTCTCTTTCTCTGCCTCTGTCTTTATTCCAAATTTTATCCTGTTCTATAAAATCTTCTATTCTTTATGTTTTAGCAAATTTTTCATAATTGTTCCTAAAGTATATTTAAAAAAACAAAACAAAACTCCCAGTTGATCTTTATTTTCTGTTTATGATAAAATTTAGATAGATTTCCTCAATAGTTTAATTAACATATAGTTTGTTTGTCTATTGGATTATGAAAGAAAAAAACATTTGAAAGAAACAATTTTTTAAAAATAAAAAACCCACATGGAAACTAATCACCCTGAATGTTTGTAAAGTCCTTTTTTTTCATTTAACGATCACAGAAACAAAAATAATAATTTCGAAATTTATTGTTGTTTTTTTTATTAGTCAAACTGATTCATTTGTTAAATGAAAATGGTTTAAAAAGAGATAAGATACACATGAATATAGTTTAGATAGTCGAAATGACATCATGAACTAAAGGGTGAAATGTACTGTATCGTATTCCGATTCAGTGGTTTATAATTATAATGTAACTTTGTCGAGTGTGAGGCACTTACCTGCCGAAGACAGTGGAAGATGGTCGGCCAGTGTTGTAGATTGGTTGAAGTTAGATATTAACACCGTTGGTAAGCGTCCGCACATGACCGAATCTCAAGGGTTTCAGTCTTACATGCGGGATCGTGGATGCACACTACTAGGGATTTCCCGACAGAAGCTGCTACCTTGACGCGGTGGTCGGGCTTGCCTATCGTGATGACCCAACCGAGCTATATTGGCTGGAACATATGTTCCTGTAGGTTCTACCATGCCAGGCAGGTCGATTGGAGAACGGTAAGACTAAAAGCAGCAACTCAAGGTCTGAGGGCGAAGTCGTACTGCTGACTGTAGAGGGTGTGACAGCAGTAAGGTGTTTCCTCGGACAACCAGCATGACAGCGATGCTGCCTTCCCACAAGGAGGGGTGGGGTTAGAAAAGGTCGACCCTAAAAATGTCACACCTCACCTTACCTCACGGATTTCCGTCTCCGGCGGTAAGGCCCTTTGAAGAACGGAGCTAACACGTCAAAAACCTTCCACAAAAAGGCCGTGCGCGACCGGCCTCAAGCAGTTGTCCCTTGGGCTCTGCGGTCACGCTCCCAGGTCGTCAAGACCAACACTAATCCAATTTCCTTTTCAGGTTCCTCAAGAAATACCCTTCCACGGTGTGGGCAGCCGGGAAGTGACATCAGCCCTCATACCCGTAACAGCACAAGAGACCAAGGTGGTCACATTCAAATCCTTCCTACACCTCCTAATACCTCTCTTATCTCCATGACTAACCCTCCTCACGTCTCTTTATCACCTCGCACCGCTAGGGCAAACGATTCGAGTACGTGGAACGCCATTCCTGGTCTCCTGAAACCACGCTCTAAACTACACGTAGGAGCTTTTAACGTACGAACACTTTGCCAAATAGGACAGCAGGCTTCCTTAGCTAAAACTTTAGAATCTCGCGCCATCGATGTGTGCTGCGTCTCCGAAACGCGCATACAGGATCCGAGTAGCGTCATTCATTTGACCTCACCATGCCAAAATAAAGAACCGACTCGATTTACGCTTCGTGTATCTGGAAGCCCTGATTCTGCTTCCCGTGGCCTCGCCGGCGTAGGTATAGCATTGAGTCCTAGGGCAGAACTAGCTCTCTTAGAGTGGATCCCAGTAGACAGTCGTTTGTGCGCTGTCCGACTGAACGGAACAGTAAGAATCCGGAAAGATAGGGACACTCGTCGTTGCCTCTTCGTCGTCTCTGCCTATTCTCCCACTGACTGCAGCTCAGATGATGTAAAAGATGAGTTTTACAGAAAGCTTTCGGACCTTCTCCGAAAAGCTAGGCGCTCGGATGTAGTAATAGTGGCCGGTGACTTTAATGCTCAAGTAGGTAAACTAAGCGATAGGAAAGACACCTAGGTGGATCTTATGGTGTCGTGGCTCAAAGAACAGATAATGGCGACCGTCTGTTGCAGCTATGCTCAGATAACCGCCTGTTCCTTGCAAATACTAACTTTAAGCATAAGGAAAAACATCTTTTAACATGGCGACCCCCTAATTCGTCCCAACGTTGGACCCAAATAGATCACATCGCTATCAGCCACCGATGGAGGGGCTCGATAGAAGACTGTCGCTCATTCTGGAGCACATGCCTAGATTCAGATCATGCTCTAGTGCGAGCGCGTATTTGCTTGCGTCTTACTGGACGTAGGAAAGACGCTGCAAGGAAACCTCTTAGGGCCTACTTAATGATAGTCAAGCTAAGAGTATATTTCAGGAACAACTAGGAAAACAGTTAGGCAGCCATGTATGTGATGCCCACCCCGATGCAGCATGGAATGATATCCGAAAAGCTGTGGAAACAGCAGTGATATCTGCTAGTAAGGTAAACCAGAAGGTTAGGGAGCAACACTGGATCTCAGCAGCATCTATCGCACTGATAGATGCTCGGAAACTCATTCCACCTGGCTCTGAACATAATGAAGAGCGGAGTCAGCTTAAGCGCAAGCTGACAAGAAGTCTACGCAATGATCGCGAACAGTGGTGGGTAGCGAAAGCAAGAGAGATGGAAAAGGCAGCGGCAATAGGTAATAGCAGACAATTGTTCAGACTCGTTAAGGAAACCGGAATTAGGAACCCGACCGTTAGCGAAACAATCTCAGAGAAAGATGGACATATTATTCATTCTCAATCCAGGAGATTGGATCGATGGGCAGAACACTTTAGGGATCAGTTCAACTGGCCTTCAGCCACACTTCGGTTTCCCACGATCTCCAGTCAACCTGAATGGCAAGTTAATGTAGGTCCTCCGTCCCTTTACGAAGTTGAAAAAGCCATAGGAAATCTGAAACGAGGGAGAGCAGCAGGCCCTGACAGGTTTACTCCTGAGATTTTTAAGGATGGTGGTCCAGTATTAGCAATGAGATTAACCGAGGTCTTAGGTAGAATTTGGGAACTGGACGTAATCCCATCTGACTGGTCTCAATCACTGATTGTGCCAGTCTATAAGAAAGGACAAAAGTCCTCTTGTGACAATCACAGAGGAATCAGTTTGACTAATATAGTGTCTAAAATATTAGCTTCAATAATACTTCGACGCCTAACTAAAGCTCGTGAAGAGCAGACTAGAGAAAACCAGGCTGGTTTTCGACCTGGACGTGGTTGTATAGATCAGATATTCACACTACGTCAGGTTCTAGAACACAGACACACATTCAGACGCCCCACAATGGTAGTATTTCTCGACCTTAAGGCGGCATTCGACTCTGTTGATCGTGAGGTTCTATGGCAGTGTTTGTCACTGAAAGGAGTACCAAAGAAGTACATTAACCTTATAAAGGCTCTCTACTCGAACACAACTGGTAGAGTGAGAGCTTATGGCGAACTGTCATCAGAATTGATTACCTCAAGTGGTGTTCGTCAGGGCTGTCCACTCTCCCCATTCTTGTTCAACTTTGTCATTGACGTACTTTTAGAGATAACACTCTCCTCATCTAAATTTACAGGGGTTGAACTTCTACCGGGAGGTTCACTTGTTGACTTAGAATATGCTGATGACATAGTTTTATTTGGTGAAGACGCTGACAAAATGCAGAGTCTTCTGACCACTCTAAGCAACAATGCAAGCATGTTCGGGATGCGATTCTCCCCTCGAAATGCAAAATGTTGCTTCAGGATTGGGTTACATCGACACCCGAACTAGTGATAGGGAGTGAAGTAGTTGAGTGTGTCGACCGCTTCACTTATCTTGGAAGTCTCATCAGCCCTTGTGGTCTGGTGTGTGACGAAATCTCAGCACGGATACAGAAGGCTCGACTAGCTTTTGCCAACTTGCGTCATTTATGGCGTAGGCGAGATATCCGTCTATCAACCAAAGGACGGGTTTACTGCGCAGCAGTTCGTTCCGTCCTACTTTATGGCAGTGAAACATGGCCGGTAAGAGTAGAGGATATTCGTAGGTTACTAGTATTTGATCATAGGTGTCTTCGAAATATTGCTCGTATATCATGGGACCATCGAGTAAGTAATGCAGTTGTTAGGAAACGGGTA